GTCATGGAGGTCGCTCGTACCTCCTTAGTCCACGCGGCTGCCCCCCACTTTCTGTGGCCGTTTGCGGTCCGGTACGCTGCGCATCAGCTCAACCTCTGGCCCCGTGTCTCCGCTCCGGAGACCTCGCCCACACTGCTGTGGACGGGGGAGGTTGGCGATGCATCACGCTTCCGTGTCTGGGGATCCCGAGCTTTTGTTCGCGACACGTCTGCGGACAAGCTCTACTCCCGCACTGCTCCGTGTGTCTTTCTTGGCTTTGTCCCGGATGCGTCTGGCTGGCAGTTTTACCACCCCGCCTCGCACCGCGTCTTCCCCTCTCAGGACGTCACTTTTGACGAGTCCGTGCCCTTCTACCGCCTCTTCCCCTACCGCACTGCCCCGCTCCCTCCCCCGTCTCTCTTCCTCGCGCCAGGTGCTGCAGTGGTAGACCCCCTCCCCCCTCAGGGTGCCGCTCCCTCAAGTGTCTCTCAGGTAGACCCGGTTGAGCCTGCCGTGGTAGCTGTCGACTCGCGTCCTGCTAGAGGTGCTGAGCCTGAGCGTGCGGAGCCTGAGCGGGCGGAGCCTGGGGGTGCTGAGTCTGGGGGTGCTGAGGCTAGGGGTGCTGAGCTTGGGGGTGCTGGGTCTGGGGGTACTGAGACTGAGGGTGCTGAGCCTGGGGGTGCTGGGTCTGAGGGTACTGAGCCTGGCGTTGCTGAGACTGGGGGTGCTGAGCCTGGTGGTGTTGTAGTTGACTGTGAGGCGCCTGGAGGACCTCCCTCTTCGCAGCAGCTACGTGAGTGGTACTCACGGTACTGCAGCCTCCGGCGGGGTGCGTCTCGGGCTCGTGGTGCTACTGGAGTTGGTACTCGTGTTTCCCCACCACGGCGGGAGCCGCCCTCTTCCCCTCAGCTTCGAGAGTGGTACGCTCGGCACATCAGTCTCCGGAGTGGAGCTGCTGGGGCTGGGGTCCCCGGAGTTGACGCTGCTGCGGGTGCTGCGGACCCTGGTGCTGGAGGTACTGCTGCTGCTGGCGGTGCTGCTGGAGGTGCTGCTAGTACTGAGGACCCGGGCGTTGGAGCTGCTGCGGGTGCTGCGGACCCTGGTGCTGGAGGTGCTGCTGCTGCTGGCGGTGCTGCTGGAGGTGCTGCTAGTACTGAGGACCCGGGCGTTGGAGCTGCTGCGGGTGCTGCGGACCCTGGTGCTGGAGGTGCTGCTGGTGCTTCTGGAGGTGCTGCTGCTGCCGCTGGTGTCTCTGCTGGTTCGAGAGTTGCTGCACGGCCACGGCCGTACTTCGTTCCGCTCCTTCAGCAAGTTCTTGGTCAGCGTCCTCCTCCTTGTCCTCCTCTCGCCTTAGAGTCCGCCGTCTGTCCAGTCACAGCCACAGTTACCGCCTGCCTCCCCACTCCCTGTGCCTACTCCTTACACTGGTCCGACTGGAGATCTTGCTGAGAGACGTGAGCCTGCGTCACGTCCTGTGTCACCTGCGTCTCGTCGAGCGTCGCCTGTTCGAGCTGCTACCACTGGTAGTCGTGTCCCGCGCGAGCGTCCTCCTGCTGTCCCAGGCACTCAACAGATGGCGCTTCGTCAGTCCACTGCTCCGCAGCGTGTCGCTCTCCCGTCGCCTCATGCGTCCTCTCTTCCTGCTCTTGCTGACCCTGAGTCAAACTCCCTTCGCGCTGCCAGTCCTACTGTCACACGTCTCCTGGCTACGGTTGTCACTGACCCTTTCTTTGAGGCCGCTGCTGCGTCTGCCTTAGTCACTGAGCTTGTCGACTTTGCAGCTGCGTGTCGTCTAGACTACGCTGCGAGTCTTGTTGCTGAGTCTGAGTCTGTCTGTCCTCCGTCCGTCGGGGGTGAGTGTGCTCTTGGCACGGACGTTCTTTAGGACAGACAGGAGGAGTTTGGTTGCCTTGCCGCTGCTTTGCCCCATCTCGTGTCCATGCTTGTTGCCCCTGAGGGAGACCCGGATGCACCAGACATCCCGACCCAACGTTCTTACGCAGAGGCGATGGCCGGTCCCTACTCCTCTCAGTAGCAGTCAGCCATGGACACAGAGATGGCTTCCTGGAAGTCCACTGGCACTTACGTCGACGAGGTTCCCCCACCTGGGGCGAACATCGTCAGTGGCATGTGGATTTTCAGGGTGAAGCGGCCGCCGGGCTCTCCGCCTGTCTTCAAGGCGCGTTACGTTGCACGAGGCTTCAGTCAGCGAGAGGGAGTTGACTTCTTCCAGACCTTCTCCCCGACCCCGAAGATGACCACTCTTCGGGTTCTGCTACACGTCGCCGCTCAGCGTGACTACGAGCTCCACTCTCTTGACTTCAGCACAGCTTTCTTGCAGGGCAGCCTGCACGAGGAGATCTGGCTGCGCCGCCCACCTGGCTTCACTGGGTCGTTCCCTCCTGGTACCCAGTGGAGCCTCCGGCGGCCAGTCTACGGTCTCCGCCAGGCGCCACGTGAGTGGCACGACACACTGAGGACTACACTTGCGGCTCTTGGGTTCGCTCCTTCTACTGCTGACCCGTCGCTGTTTCTACGCACCGACCCCTCACTGCCGCCGTTCTACATCCTCGTGTACGTCGACGACTTGGTCTTTGCCACTTCTGACACAGCTGGTCTCGCTCACGTGAAGTCCGAGCTGCAGAAGAGACACACATGCACTGACCTGGGTGAACTGACAAGCTATCTTGGCTTGCGGATCACCCGGGACAGAGCACGGCGCACCATCACCTTGACTCAGTCACACATGGTGCAGCAGGTCCTTCAGCGCTTCGGCTTCACGTACTCCTCGCCTCAGTCCACTCCTCTGCCTACGGGACACTCGCTCTCAGCTCTGCCTTCGGATGAGTCCGTAGAGCCGAGTGGTCCGTATCCAGAGCTTGTGGGCTGCCTCATGTACCTGATGACCTGCACTCGACCTGACCTTGCATACCCTCTCAGCATCTTAGCACGCTATGTCGCTTCCGGCCGTCACCGGAAGGAGCACATGGATGCAGCTAAGAGGGTGTTGCGCTACTTGTGCAGTACGTCGGGCATGGGGCTAGTGCTTGGAGGGCGAGACCGGCCTGTTCTCACTGGGCACTCCGACGCTTCTTGGGCAGACGACCAGGCCACTCAGCGGTCGTCCCAGGGTTACACCTTCAGCCTTGGCTCTGGCTCTGTCTCTTGGCGTTCTACTCGCTCTTCTTCTGTTCTCAGACAATTTCGCATGCGTGCGCTGCGAAGCCACGGGCGAACACGTGGCGCGACCGCAACGGGTCGCGAAATTGTCGAGTGTCCCGAGGGGCCCCCGATTTTTCGCCCGGCCCTCGCCTGCCCGTCCGGTCAGGCCGCGATGGGTTACTAGGACCTCGCGGGCAGGTGGCACGGTTGGGCTGCCTTCGCGCGAGGGTTACTTTCCCTCGCGCTAGCTGTCGCCAGTTCGCCAACCCCACCCGGTAACGTGGGCCGCTGTTCACTCTCGGAGCGGGGCTGCGGGGCGGCGGTCGTGCGCTCGGCCCAGCCCTAGGCCAGGCTGGCGGGCCCGCACGCGCGTCAGTCGCCCGCCTCGTCATTCTCGGCTTCGACGACCCCCCTCGACGACACTGACAAAACCGTTCCGACGACCGAATTCCGATGAGGTTTTCGGTTGATTATGTACTGTACCCATGTGGACGAGTTGACTGGAGGACATGAGAGGCGGGCTCATAGCTTCTGCAGGTTCGGTGGCAGCGAGGCACAGTTGCGGTGGTAGAGGAGGTTAATGGCTTCCCGACTGATTGAAACCGCCTGTAACCGTACTAAATAATTTGAATACATATTTTCCAGCCTGTAGAACTACATAACCAAGGTTTAGAAGGCTACGGATTCCGGAATCATGCGCACAACTACAGTTGCACCACCAGATCCCGGCCCCACCGACATTACAGGAGGATATGCCAAGCCATGGCACCCACCCCACCACACATCTTGCAGCTTCAGTTACTCGACCTTTCATGGCCTCAGGCAAATTTGTAACCAGACCAGATGCCTTTTTATGATTGGGAATTTTTGCGAAGTGTCATATTTGTTCGTTCACAATTGACTTGGAGATGTTCATTTTGGTGCGCAGTGGCCCAAAGCGGTGAAAGTCAAATCCCACTCTCAATCGTTTGAACGTACTGAACCACGTCGAACCATGAACGGAGATAATGTAGCTCGTCGAAAGAACATCAAAAGGTGAAACGAGGGGAGCACTTCAAGAAGACATCAACACCCCTCCGCCATCTGCGGCCATCGCAACAGGACCTATGTAGATCACTTATCACCCGTCCGAGCTTGGTTTGTAATACCGTAGTAATAGCAGTACCCTGCAGCCAGAATCTTACCTTTCACGTTTACCGCGTCGTCGCAATGCCTCACAGGAAGTTAAAACGCTTCTTTAGCGGAAGGGTCCGCGACGATCGCGCGACGGAATCGACACACGCCGGCTCGCTATGGCGAGCCGTCGCTTCCGTGAGTCGAGCAGATACTTCCGGAGTTTCTCTAGGAACAGCTGGCGCTTCTGGAGCGCGAGCAGTGGCTGATTCGGAGAATAATTCAGAGTGTCTCGTAAATTCGCCGGACGAATCAGAAACAGTAGTAGCAGCAGTAGTAGCATCCAGGCAATCAGCGCATCGACGCGGCCGCGTCAATGCTGGGCAAGAGGCAGTAGCGCACGGAAATTACGTCGATCAACGCGACTGTTTCTCGACGGAGATTTCCACAATAAGCGCCGATGATTGTCGGCGTCTGCCAGACGATGGGCTGGGAAATCGCGGAGCCGCCGATGGTAGTACCAGTCCTTGTAGTAGCAGTAGCGCGAATCGCAGCCATAATAGCGCCCGCAGCGTCTCCTGCTGCGCGCCGATGATCCGACGCCGCCGCGACCGTTGTTCAGTGAGTCATGACAGCGACGAAGATTCGCGGGACGGCGGGAAGAGAGCAGGAAAACGACGAAATGGCCGATCACGCCGACGAGGTATGTCGCAGCTTGCTGAGCACGTAATACACCCGGAAGAAAGATGGTGCGAGAAGCAAGTACGGAGACAATTACCGTTCTTGCAACGTCACTGTCACACCGTAAACTTACGGTACTGTGACAGTGTGACAGTGACACTTACCGTACGGTACGGAAGGCAGGCTATAGAACTTGTATGTTTGGAGTTGCTTTTGAGAATTCTCAAAAGCTATTGACCTCTTCCCCTCCTAGCCACTGGCTCTTGCGTTCCTCTGCGTGAGAGACGGCGGGTCTTCTCGCATCTTTCTTCGTCTGGGTCATCTCAACCCCCCGTCTCAGCGTTACTCCTCTCAGCGTCCCTCCTCTCAGCGTTCGGAACGCGCTTCACACTCCTGTGTGTCCCTCTCAGCGTCCCTCCTCTCAGCTCGACCAGCGCTTCACAATCCTGTTTCCGTGCCCTCGGAGCGGTCAATATCGTTCTCGGCGTGGCCGTGAGCCGTTGATCCGACTCAGATGTCATGCTCGCTCCACTCCGTCTCTCCTGTCCCACCCTCCTCTCCTCCCCCCCCAGTCACACTGTTCCACGTGTTAATCGCTTTATGGATCCTGATCGGCGTGGGCGTGTGCGTGTGGCGGTTCGTGGCGAGGCAGTATCAGTGGCACGGGGAGCGGCGGGGGGAGCTGAGGCAATGGTGTTCGCAACGAGCCATAATGCTGGAGCAGCAGCTGCTGGCGCACACCGGACAGACGCAGGTGAGTGAAGAAAGTAATTTCATGCCTTGAGTTTAGGGGCAAGACGGTACGGTGGCACGGGGAGCGGCGGGGGGAGCTGAGGCAGTGGTGTTCCCAACGAGCCATCATGCTGGAGCAGCAGCTTCTGGCGCACACCGGGCAGACGCAGGTGGGTGAATCAGAGAGGAGGTGCATGGAATCCCTTGGGTGAGGTGAGGTAATTCTGATGTTATGGGGAGTGGCAGGTGGAGCTGAAGCGATGGTGCTCGCAGCGGGCGTTACCGCTGGAGCAGCAGCTGCTGGCGCACACAGGGCAGACGCAGGTGAGTGAAAAAAAAATAGACCAATTACATGTCTTGGGCACATCACATGCCCAGTTCTGCTTCCTCTCACACCCGTTCCTTGTGACTTCTCCAATGCACGCATACTCCTCCCCCCCCCCCTTCCTCCCTGCATCCCCCCCATGTGCAGACGCTGGCAGGTTTGGTGTCGTCCCTGGGTCGCATAGCTGAGGACGGCCAATGGGCGCTGGACACGTGTCTCTCTGAGAGGCGCTGGCTGGCGTATCTCAGCCAAACCAAGTCCACCCGGCCTGGAGGCGCTGAGGCGTTTGCGTGTCTCTATGTCTCAAATGCCGAGAGGTCAGTCAGTCAGTGCATGTGTCTCCATCACTGGTGCCCGTGGGGGATTTTTTTTTTAAGCTCTCTACGACTGTTTCCATGCCTTTGCGTGGAACTATGCCTTCATCACCTATTCTGCTCCCTACTTCCCGCTCTCCCATGCGTTGTTGTTCCCTCCCATGCTTCTCTCTCCCTCCCCCCAGGCGTGTCTTTGAGCGGCGGAACAACGCCTCGATCACAGATGCGTTCACCGCCCTGCCACGCATGCCTGCTCCAATCTACTGCCCCAAGGTACGCGTCCGAGCTTGCCTGTTCTTAAGGCGCCCGAAATTGCGTACGGAGGTTTGCTGATGCAGATGGAAGGTTGCAGTTACCGCACCTATATCATTTTCCTCCCTCACCACTTCCTTGCACCGCTCCCCACCCCACCTCCACCCCTTACCACTCCCCCTTCTCCAGGTGCTGGACGTGAACAGTGAGTCAGGGGCTGCTCTCCTCTCAGACGCCCTCCAGGCCTTCCCCTCAGAGCTTGCTCTCGTGCATTCCTTAGCCAAGGAGGTTTTTCCTCTGTCCCGCCCCACTCCCGCAATGCAGTGGCCACTCACTCACTGCTACACCCCTTCACCACCCCCACTCTCCAGGTGCTGGACATGAGTGGTGCGTCAGGGGCCGCTTTCCTCTCAGACAGCCCACCTCCGCACTGCACTGGCCACTCACTGCTACCCCACCACTCCCCACTCCCCACTCTCCACTCCAGGTGCTGGACGTGAACAGTGAGTCAGGGGCTTCTCTCACCCCAGCCGCCCTCCAGGCCTTCCCCTTGGAGCTTGCTCTCGTGCATTCCTTAGCCAAGGAGGTTATTGCTCCGTCCCGACACACCTCCGCACTGACCACTCACCACCCCCGCTCACCACTCCCCACCCCCAGGTCCTAGATGTAGACATGGAGTCAGGGGCTGCTCTCCTCCCAGCCGCCCTGCAGGCCTTCCCCTCGGAGCTTGCTCTCGTGCATTCCTTAGCCAAGGAGGCTATGGCTCCGTCCCGCCCCCCATCACCTCCACCCACCACCAGGTGCTGGACTTGGACAGCAAGTCAGGGGCTGCTTTCCTGTCAGACGCCCTGCAGGCCTTCCCCTCAGAGCTTGCTCTCGTGCGTGCCTCAGCCAAGGAGACATTCACGCTGCCCTACGCCACCACCGCCACTAGCACTGCTGGTCTGGGTGAGTATCAATCAAGGAGTGGGTAAGCGCAGCTCTGTCAACCTGCATTGATTGACTTGAAATGACCAACCTGAACTTGCTAAACTCAAAATAACTTCACGAGCTACTTAAGTTCCTCTTTGCATTCTTCTCACCCATCCCTCCCTCCTTGTTCGCTTTATATCATCAACCCACAACACCTTCTTCCTTCAATTTTCCTCGACCTCTCCCCCCCCTATCACCACACCAGGGGTGGTGTTCCCGGTGCTGCAGCAGCATCCCTTCCCCACGTCCCCCTTGCAGCAGCAGCAGGCACAGGCAGCAGTGGTGGGAGCAGTGACCACCACCATCAACCTCACTGCTGTCGTGCAGAGCGTGCTCGCTGAGATCTTCGCATCCTCCACTCCATCCACACGTGAGTAGCTGTGTGTCTGTGTGTGTGTCTGTGCACGCGCGACATGGTTGGCCCCAGGTGATCGGAACCGCACTGCTGTCGTGCAGAGCGTGCTCGCTGAGATCTTCTCATCCTCCACTCCATCCACACGTGAGTAGCTGTGTGTCTGTGTGTGTGTGTCTGTGCGCGCGCGACATGGTTGGCCCCAGGTGATCGGAACCGCACTGCTGTCGTGCAGAGCGTGCTCGCTGAGATCTTCTCATCCTCCACTCCATCCACACGTGAGTAGCTGTGTGTCTGTGTGTGTGTCTGTGCGCGCGCGACATGGTTGGCCCCAGGTGATCGGAACCGCACTGCTGTCGTGCAGAGCGTGCTCGCTGAGATCTTCTCATCCTCCACTCCATCCACACGTGAGTAGCTGTGTGTCTGTGTGTGTGTGTCTGCGCGAGCGACATGGTTGGCCCCAGGTGATCGGAACCGCACTGCTGTCGTGCAGAGCGTGCTCGCTGAGATCTTCTCATCCTCCACTCCATCCATACGTGAGTAGCTGTGTGTCTGTGTGTGTGTCTGTGCGCGCGCGACATGGTTGGCCCCAGGTGATTGGAACCGCACTGCTGTCGTGCAGAGGGTGCTCGCTGTGATCTTCTCATCCTCCACTCCATCCACACGTGAGTAGCTGTGTGTCTGTGTGTGTGTCTGTGTGCGCGGGACATGGTTGGCCCCAGGTGATCGGAACCGCACTGCTGTCGTGCAGAGCGTGCTCGCTGAGATCTTCTCATCCTCCACTCCATCCACACGTGAGTAGCTGTGTGTCTGTGTGTGTGTGTCTGTGCGCGCGCGACATGGTTGGCCCCAGGTGATCAGCACCGCACTGCTGTCGTGCAGAGCATGCTCGCTGAGATCTTCTCATCCTCCACTCCATCCACACGTGAGTAGCTGTGTGTCTGTGTGTGTGTCTGTGTGCGCGGGACATGGTTGGCCCCAGGTGATCGGAACCGCACTGCTGTCGTGCAGAGCGTGCTCGCTGAGATCTTCTCATCCTCCACTCCATCCACACGTGAGTAGCTGTGGGTCTGTGTGTGTGTCTGTGCGCGCGCGACATGGTTGGCCCCAGGTGATCGGAACCGCACTGCTGTCGTGCAGAGCGTGCTCGCTGAGATCTTCTCATCCTCCACTCCATCCACACGTGAGTAGCTGTGTGTCTGTGTGTGTGTGTCTGTGCGCGCGCGACATGGTTGGCCCCAGGTGATCAGCACCGCACTGCTGTCGTGCAGAGCATGCTCGCTGAGATCTTCTCATCCTCCACTCCATCCACACGTGAGTAGCTGTGTGTCTGTGTGTGTGTCTGTGCGCGCGCGACATGGTTGGCCCCAGGTGATTGGAACCGCACTGCTGTCGTGCAGAGCGTGCTCGCTGAGATCTTCTCATCCTCCACTCCATCCACACGTGAGTAGCTGTGTGTCTGTGTGTGTGTCTGTGCGCGCGCGACATGGTTGGCCCCAGGTGATCGGAACCGCACTGCTGTCGTGCAGAGCGTGCTCGCTGAGATCTTCTCATCCTCCACTCCATCCACACGTGAGTAGCTGTGTGTCTGTGTGTGTGTCTGTGCGCGCGCGACATGGTTGGCCCCAGGTGATCGGAACCGCACTGCTGTCGTGCAGAGCGTGCTCGCTGAGATCTTCTCATCCTCCACTCCATCCACACGTGAGTAGCTGTGTGTCTGTGTGTGTGTCTGTGCGCGCGCGACATGGTTGGCCCCAGGTGATCGGAACCGCACTGCTGTCGTGCAGAGCGTGCTCGCTGAGATCTTCTCATCCTCCACTCCATCCACACGTGGGTAGCTGTGTGTCTGTGTGTGTGTCTGTGCGCGCGCGACATGGTTGGCCCCAGGTGATCGGAACCGCACTGCTGTCGTGCAGAGGGTGCTCGCTGAGATCTTCTCATCCTCCACTCCATCCACACGTGAGTAGCTGTGTGTCTGTGTGTGTGTCTGTGCGCGCGCGACATGGTTGGCCCCAGGTGATCGGAACCGCACTGCTGTCGTGCAGAGCGTGCTCGCTGAGATCTTCTCATCCTCCACTCCATCCACACGTGAGTAGCCATGCATGTGTGTGTCTCTGCGCGCGCGTGTATGATATGGTTGGGCCCAGGTGATGGGAACCGCACTGACATCGTGTAGAGCATGGTCTCTGAGATCTTCTCATCATCTACTCCATCTGCTCGTGAGTACAATCGCTCTCAGACCGATCATTTGAGCTCTACGATACCACAGACCCTGCCTCCCCGCTCATGTTCACAGGCCCCACGCCGCTCATGTTCACAGGCCCCACGCCGCTGCTCTTTTCTGCCCTTGCCTGCTTCTCTTCTCTTGCCTGCTTCTCTTGCCTGCTCCTCACCTCACCTTCCCCATTCCATATCCTTCCCTCCCTCTTGTCGTCACCTTCCTCCCATCCACTCTCCGACCGATCTTTCGAGCTCTACGATAGGACAGACCCTGCCTCCCCGTTCATGCTCGCAAGCCCCACGCCGCTGCTCTTCCCTGTTGCTCTTGCCCTTTCCTCACCTCACCTTCCATTTCTCATCTCTCCTCCCCCCTCCCTTCCATCCAGGCTCCGACCGATCAGTTGAGCTCTACGATACGACAGACCTTGCCGCCCCGCTCATGCTTGCCAGCCCCATGCCGCTGCTTTTCCAGCCGCAGCCCGGCCAGCCGGTCGCCCCGCTGCTGCCGCTGCCCCCCTCGGTGCTGCGCGTATGGGAGATGCGGGCAATTGTGAACCTCACGCTGCCAAGTGCTGGGCCCAGGCGCTACCAAGTGTGGTGCAGGTGGGTGGATGGGTGGGTGTGCTGGGGCAGACTTTCAAGGCGCGTAATGAATATAGCTAGCATTGTGGGGTTGGTTGGAAGGGAGTGGTTCCACTCAAAATGGACATACCTGAGGCCTAATCTCTGGATTTACACTGCTTCCTATCATGTTCATGTAGCGTATTGAGCAAGCGGAGAGGAATGAGGCACTGCTGGAGAGGGGAGCTCACCTGCCTGAGACGGATTCTCAGGTGGAGCAGATGAGAGCTGAGATGGCGGATTGAGATGTACAATTGGAGCAGAAGAGCGTTGAGCTGAAGGCAGTGATTGCGGAGCGAGACCACCTTCGAGAGGTAGGCTCAGGAGGGGGGGAAATGGCAGGGGACGGCCTAAGAAATCACTGGAAGCGAGACCACCTTCAAGGGTTAGGCTCCCCAGCACCCACTCAAATGCTCCCCAGCACTTACTCTTAGGCCGCCCGCCGCCATTTCCCCCAAACCTGAGCCTACCTCTCGAAGGTGGTCTCGCTCCGCAATCACTGCCTTCAGCTCAACGCTCTTCTGCTCCAATTGTACATCTCAATCCGCCATCTCAGCTCTCATCTGCTCCACCTGAGAATCCGTCTCAGGCAGGTGAGCTCCCCTCTCCAGCAGTGCCTCATCCCTCTCCGCCTGCTCAATACGCTATATAAACAGGATAGAAAAATGTGTAAATCCAGAAATTAAGGCTCAGGTATGTCCATTAGCTAGTCCGTTTTGAGACACATAGAAACACGATTCAGTGTTGTTCCGGTGGGGGTGGGTGGGCTGGAGTCCGTGTGTATGTATTCAAGCTGGTATCCTCCCCACCCCCCTCTCTCTGTCTCCCACTGTGTGCCTGTTTCTCTCCCTCGGTTCTGACCCAGCAGGTTCACGGAGCCCCCCTCTTGGTTTGTTGAATACAGAATGCCCATCCTCTGGACGCTGCTGGTGCTGGCGCTACTGGTAACCCAATCCCCCCCTGTCCCTCCCACTGTACGCCCCAACCGATTCACGGAGCCGCCATCGCGGTTCATGGAGTGTGGAATGCCGACCCTGTTCACACTGCTGGTGCTGGCGATAGTGACCCGACTCCCCCCTGCATGTCCCTTCTCTCCCACTTGTTTCCAGACCAGGTTCACGGAGCCCCCCTCTTGGTACATGGAGTATGTGATGCCGACCCTCTTCACCCTGCTCGTGCCGGCGCTGGTAGCGCTGGTGGCGGTGGTGGCGTGCCCGCAGCGGCGCCAGTACGAGCAGAGCCGGCAGGCAGGCAGGCAAGCAGCAGCAAAGTGGTTACCCTGTGCTTGTTCCATCTAGTAACCTGATCTCCCCCTGTTCTCTCCCTCCCGTTTTGTCCCAACAGGTTCACGGAGCCCCCGTCTCGGTTTGAAGAGTATGTTCCGCCGACCCTCTTCACCCTGCTGGTGCTGGCGCTGGTAGCGCTGGTGGCGGTGGTGGCGTCCCTGCAGCGGCGGCAGTACGAGCAGAGCAGGCGGGCAGCAGTGGAGGCGGATGCGATGAGGGCGGAGGCGGAGGGGGCGGAGAGGAGCAAGAGCTGCTTTGTCGCGAGCATGACTCATGAGCTGCGCACTCCCATGCTTGGCATCATCGGTATGGGCTGCTGATGGAGTCTCATGGGGTGATTGGTATGGGCATGATAGGGGTGGGTTTGGGAAGGAAGCGGAGGGGGATGAGGGAGGTGGAGGGGGCAGGCAGAGAGGAGCAAGAGCTGCTTTGAGCACAGCCCGTTCTCTGCGCCTTTTGAGGCATCTCAAAAGTCATCAAGAGCTGCTTTGAGCACAGCCCGTTCTCTGCGCCTTTTGAGGCGTCTCAAAAGTCGTCAAGAGCTGCTTTGAGCACAGCCCGTTCTCTGCGCCTTTTGAGGCGTCTCAAAAGTCGTCAAGAGCTGCTTTGAGCACAGCCCGTTCTCTGCGCCTTTTGAGGCGTCTCAAAAGTCGTCAAGAGCTGCTTTGAGCACAGCCCGTTCTCTGCGCCTTTTGAGGCATCTCAGAAGTCGTCAAGAGCTGCTTTGAGCACAGCCCGTTCTCTGCGCCTTTTGAGGCGTCTCAAAAGTCGTCAAGAGCTGCTTTGAGCACAGCCCGTTCTCTGCGCCTTTTGAGGCGTCTCAAAAGTCGTCAAGAGCTGCTTTGAGCACAGCCCGTTCTCTGCGCCTTTTGAGGCGTCTCAAAAGTCGTCAAGAGCTGCTTTGAGCACAGCCCGTTCTCTGCGCCTTTTGAGGCGTCTCAAAAGTCGTCAAGAGCTGCTTTGAGCACAGCCCATTCTCTGCGCCTTTTGAGGCATCTCAAAAGTCGTCAAGAGCTGCTTTGAGCACAGCCCGTTCTCTGCGCCTTTTGAGGCGTCTCAAAAGTCGTCAAGAGCTGCTTTGAGCACAGCCCGTTCTCTGCGCCTTTTGAGGCGTCTCAAAAGTCGTCAAGAGCTGCTTTGAGCACAGCCCATTCTCTGCGCCTTTTGAGGCATCTCAAAAGTCGTCAAGAGCTGCTTTGAGCACAGCCCGTTCTCTGCGCTAAAGGTGAACCATGTGCTTGACCTGTCTAAGCTGCATCTACTCCCTTCCCCTTCCCCTGTGCCCCACCCATCCCAGGCATGCTAGACGTGCTCTCGGACTCACATCTTTCTAGCAACCAGCTCTCAGACTTAAGCACAGCGCGCACCTCTGCCCTCAAGGTGCTGAAGCTGGTGAACCAGGTGCTGGACCTCTCCAAGCTGGAGGCGGGGCGGCTGCAGCTGGAGCCGGGCGGGTTTGACGTGCACGCGTGGGTGGAGGGGGTGGTGGGCCGGCGGTGGGCGGAGGCGCAAGAGAGGAACTTGCACTGTGAGTCTGCGGCTTGTTTCATACAGGAACTGGGGCGGGGGAGAAACAGAATTGGTTCGAATGAGAATAGGCTTGAATTGCGAGGGTTTAGACCTCTCCAAGCTGGAAGCTGGGCGGGGAATGTCTACTGTAAGTATGCCAGCTGTTTCAAGGAGGGTTCTTGAAAGAGAGAGGGGGGGGCGAACATGAATTATGAGCGCCCCCTTCCCTTTTTTTTTCCTGCATCTAACACCTATGAATATGTGCATGCTTGTGAGCAGTGGCAGCAGTAGTGGACGCCGATGTGCCGCCTCAGCTGGTGGGGGATCAACTGCGCCTCGCCCAAGTGCTCTCTCAAGTGATGGGTGGGTGCTCACTTACTTGTCGCCTCTTCTGTTCAGTTTTTGAGGTGCCTATCAGAGTCTATCACAAGTCAAGCCATGGATGGGCTGTTCAGTTCGGATGTCTGGCCAGCTCAAAAGATGTCTGGCCAGCTCAAAAGATGTCTGGCCAGCTCAAAACATGTCTGGCCAGCTCAAAAGATGTCTGGCCAGCTCAAAAGATGTCTGGCCAGCTCAAAAGATGTCTGGCCAGCTCAAAAGATGTCTGGCCAGCTCAAAAGATGTCTGGCCAGCTCAAAACATGTCTGGCCAGCTCAAAAGATGTCTGGCAAGCTCAAAACATGTCTGGCCAGCTCAAAAGATGTCTGGCCAGCTCAAAACATGTCTGGCCAGCTCAAAACATGTCTGGCCAGCTCAAAACATGTCTGGCCAGCTCAAAACATGTCTGGCCAGCTCGTTCACATGTGACGACTTTTGAGGCGCCTCAAAACATGTCTGGCCAGCTCGTTCACATGTGACGACTTTTGAGGCGCCTCAAAACATGTCTGGCCAGCTCGTTCACATGTGACGACTTTTGAGGCGCCTCAAAACATGTCTGGCCAGCTCGTTCACATGTGACGACTTTTGAGGCGCCTCAAAACATGTCTGGCCAGCTCGTTCACATGTGACGACTTTTGAGGCGCCTCAAAACATGTCTGGCCAGCTCGTTTACATCTGGTCACTTCTGCTCACTTCTGGTCACTTCTGCTCACTTCTGCTCACTTCTGCTCACTTCTGGTCACTTCTGCTCACTTCTGCTCACTTCTGCTCACTTCTGCTCACTTCTGCTCACTTCTGCTCACTTCTGCTCACTTCTGGTCACTTCTGGTCACTTCTGGTCACTTCTGGTCACTTCTGGTCACTTCTGGTCACTTCTGGTCACTTCTGGTCACTTCTGGTCACTTCTGGTCACTTCTTCTCCCTTCTGTTCAATCACTCGGCCGAATCTGTTTTTTTTTTTTTTTTTTTTTTCAAGTCAAGCCATGGATGGGTGTCTGGCCAGGCCAGCTCGTTTACACATGGTTACTTCTGGTCGCTCCTAGTTAGCCAGCTAATTTTCATGTCGTGTTGATGGTTCTGTTTGTGTCAGTTGGCCGGCCCTTGTCACAGGGGTAGCTCTGGCTACTGCAGAGTGGATTAGACACAGCAGTTTGCTCCTGTCCCATCCTCCGCTCTCCCAACCCACCTTCCTCCCACCCCTGCTGCAGACTACGCCTTGTCATTCACACCGCACGGGGGCTACGTGCTGGTGCGGGTGGCTGTGGTGGATGCTCATGTGCCCATGGCTCAGCTGGCTCAGTGGAACGGTGAGTGAGAATGCTTTACCAATTCGGTTGTTTTCATATCTGTTGTGTTCTTTAGGCGCCTCAAGAATTGCCAGTGGCTGTGGCCAATGCGGGCGTGCCCATGGCGCGGTTGGCTCAGTGGAACAGTGAGTGAGAGAAGGCTCTATCAACCTCAGTAGTATTCATGTTATATACAAAAGAAGAACTGTATTGAATTGACCCAGCAATGGGTGGAGCTTTGCTCTATCTTCAGACCCCTGAATCTCCTCAAACATCTTTCTTCTCTATGCCTGTCCTCCCCCCTCTTTCTCTGGTACCTATCCCCTTTCCGCAGCATCCCTTTCAGCAGTCAGCAGCCGATGGCGACGACAAATGATAGACCATTGCTCTCTCTAGGATGACTCTTGCATCGTTTTTTACATTCCTCTATCTGCCTTCCTCTCCTCTCTCCCCTGCCCTCTGCAGCGTCCTGTGCTGCAGCCAGCAGCGCGAGGGTGACTACACTGATAGGCTCAGACGATGTGACTATAACAGGGGATGCTGACGCAGCAGCAGCAGCAGCAGCAGCAGCAACGGCTTGCTTTGCTGGCAGTGCTGGACCGTGCGGAGAGAAGCAGAGCTGTTGTCAAGCTATGGCTGCTCGCAATACGCTCAATACGCGCAAACGGCCAGGATATGGCAAAAGTAGTGTGTGTGACTGTAGAGGAGCAGAACCATGCAACCTTCGTGGTCCCTGCATACGTGGTAACTGTACAAGCGGCATCAGTGGTAACCGTATTATGGGTGGTAGTAGTAACCATACAGTCCACGTGGATTGTGACTGTCACTACGGCGGAAGAAGGGGAGCAGCAGCAGGCGGGGCAATGCAGCTGGTGGTGACGTGTGAGCACAGCGGGTGTGACAACAGCGAGACCATGAATGGATTCATGTTTCGATTTGAGGTGAGCAGTGACGGTCCATGCGAAGTGAAACAGCAATGATTTCTGAGTCGACAGGGTATTTTTGAGAATTCTCAAAAATACCCTGCAGCATCATGATTTTTGAGTCGACTCAAAACTCATCAAGACGGTCCATGTGAAGTGGAACATTCATTCATGTTTCGATTTGAAGGTGAGCAGTGACGGTCCATGTGAAGTGAAACAGCAATGATTTCTATCTGAGGTGATGAGACAGGGATGACACTGTGGAGGAGACATGTTGAGGTGACAAGTATCTTTGGCGAGGAAACCATTCCCGCCACTTGTGTATGGTAAACCTGAGTACTCCCAAATTGTTCATGGGCAGAGAATACAAACCTGGACTTTAGAATGATGCACAGAACTGGCCTTTATGTGTAGCTCGGAGTAGTGACTGCCATGCGTGTGCTTCGGTACGCATTGCTTGTGTTGAGTTGAGTCCGTGTGCGTGTGTGTGTGTGTGCACACTTCCAGGAGATGCGTAGCTTGCAGGAGGGAGCTGAGGAAGCTGCTGCGAAGCTCAGCCTTGTGTTAGCTAAGCAACTGGTGAGAGAAGGATGTTTGTTATGTGGCACCTCTAGTAACTTGTTTTTTATACACACATATTTTGCATATGTATGTATATGTATATGTTTATGTATGTGTATTATTTTCAGAAGTCAACTTCTGGTGAAATAGGACTTCCTCTTTGCAAGACATTGGGCTTTCAAGCTCTAGTTCCCCTGTATGGGTCTTGGTCCACATGTTTGACTTTTGAGGCGCCTCAAAAGCTCTAGTTCCCCTGTACGGGTCTTGGTCCACATGCTTTCGCAGTACCATGTATCCTTTTCCTGTTAACGCAATTATATCTGGTCTCGGGCCTTCTACTGCTGTGTTCGTTTTGTGACTGCATGCAGGTGACTCTAATGAAGGGTGACATGAGCTGCAAGGTCGACCCTGTTACAGGAACAGCTTTCACCCTCGCCATACCCATACTCTCTGCTCCACCACAGCTGCCCCAGACAAGCCTTTCTTCAACAGCCCTCCACCAGATCAACCTGTCTCATACAAGCCTGCCCTTTTTAAAAGCCGTTTTTCCGGCTGCCACTCCTGCCACTGCACCTGCTGTCGATGCCGCGCCTTCTGCTCAAGTGGACGGCTGGGAGAACCATGGAACCATGGCCATGGGAGCCATGGTTACCATGATGCTCGGCGGCATGGGACGGGACCTTTCTGCAGACCTTTCTGGAGTGCTGGTGGTGGCGGATGGCCAGCCGGAGAGAGCAAAGGTAACTTGCAGATTCTAGCCTGGAAGCTCGGTGTGTCCAGCCCTCATTACACCGAGGTAGCTGCCTGCTGCTAGGTAGGATTCCGGTGTTATGTTGCTTCCATGCCTCTAGCAACGGCCGCATATGAGCAACCATCCCCCATACTCTCATCCCGTTTGTGTGCAAACCCGCCCTGCCTTCCCTCCCACCCACCAGCTGACCACCCGTGTGTTGGTGCACCTAGGAGCATCCGTGCTGCTGGCAAATGATGAAGTGGCAGCAGCTCGGTACTTACCCGGTGTATTGGTTGGTTCTTCTAAATTCACCGGCCAACCATCGCCAATCCCCTGTGTGCCTACCCTCTCGTTCCCCCCCACCAGCTGACTTCCCGTGTGTTGACACACTTAGGAGCATCCGTGCTGCTGGCGAACGATGAACAGGCAGCAGCTTCCTTCTTAGCCGATTCTCACACCTCCCACCAACGATCTTCACGTTCCCACTCGCACCAGCAGCACTTAGTTAAGTTGTGTGGGAAGCAGGTGGTGGTGGTAGTGAGCGGGGAGGCTGGCCTGAAGAGGTTCCAAGAGGCGTTTTCTCAACTGGTGCAACAGGAGCAGCAAGAGCAGCAGCAGCAACAAATGGAGCTAGAGGAGCAAGAGCAGAATCGCGCAGTTGTGTGCAGCACAAGTGATCGCAGGAGAAGCAAATTTCACGACTGCAGTCCCTTGTGCTGCGCGCCACTGCACAGCCCGGCCCTGCTTGGCATCGTGGTGCTTGTAGCAAAAGGGGGCCTTAGTGAAGGGGCCGACGAGGGCACGGAAACTAGGAAGGGAGCTGTTGGTGGTGGCGACAGAAGGGAGCAGCAGAGGGTTGGCATGACAGATGGACAGAAACGTGCTGATGCTTTCACCACTGGCAGTAGTGAGGGGGATAGTGAGGGCACGGAAAATAGTGGGGAAGTTGGTGGTGGAGACAGAGGGGAGCAGCAGGGGTTAGGCATGGCAGATGTAGATGGACGTGCAAATGGCAGTGATGGCAGTTGTGCTGATGCTGCTGCTGAAGCTGAGACTGATGCTTGTTCTGATGCTTGTTCTGATGCTGGTTCCTTTTCTTTTCTCAATAGTGCTGATTGTGCTGATGCTGGTGGTGCCGAAGCTAGTGGTGGTGCCGAAGCTAGTGGTGGTGCCGAAGCTAGTGGTGGTGCCAAAGCTAGTGGTGGTGCCGAAGATAGTGGTGGTGCCGAAGCTAGTGCTGCTGTCAACGCTGACGCTCATGCTGATGCTGATTCTGATGCTGATACCAGCAGGCAGAGCGATTTCAAAGAGGCGGCCACGCATGGAGATTCCAGGGAGGAGGGTATCGATGGCCTTTGTATCAGTCGGCTTGAAAGCAGTATCGAGGATAGGGATGAAAGCAATATTGCGGAAGGGCGTGAAAACAATCTGAAGGAGGGAGGTGAAAGCACTGTGGAGGAAGCGGTTGTGGGTGGCAAAGGCATGGTTCCAGTGGTGCTGTGTCAGCGGCCTCTCTTCTCCCACCACCTGCTCTCTGCCATTCAGGTACGCTGCCACCTGCCATTCTTGTCTCCTAAAACTGTATGAATCATCGCACTTCTGATCTACCTGTCTCTTTCCTTGTTTAACGTCTCTCTCTATCCTCTCACTGCCTTCTCTCCGCCCTCTCTTCCTGCCCATTCCTCTCCTTCCTCTCCTCCCTCTCGTCCGTCTCACCTAAACCATAATTCCGCACCAGCACGGCCTCAACAGTTGCACCACCCATCTTTTCATGAATCTCCACCCTCTCATCCCACTTCTCCCTCTCACCCCCGTCCCCCTTCAACCCTGTCCCGCAGACCATACTCCTCCCACCAGCATCGCCTTCACCACCCACCTCGTTATACTTCAACCTCTCGTTAACCTCTCATTTCACTTCTCCCTCTTTATCCCTTGGCCTCCCTCTCACCCCTGTCCCGCAGACCATACTCCTACACCAGCATCGCCTGCACCACCCACCTTCTCCCTACCCAGCCGGATCTCAGCAGTCAGCCACCACTGCTACTGCCAATGTCACTGCCTCTGCCGCTGCTGCTGCCACTGCCACTGCTCCTGCTGTGGGCCCAGCCGCTTCCATGCCATCGCCAATAACACTAACAGCAGCACTCACTCCGGCTGCAACCTCTGCTGCTACAGCCTCTGTTGCGACAGCTGTGCCTGCTGCTATCCCCACTGATGCTTCAAGTGGTGCTGGCATTGGCAGTTCTAATGCCGATTGCAGAAAGAGGGTTACATTTATGGAGGGGGGGAGTCGAGGTGGAGGGCCAGCAGGGAGAGGGGGAGCAGGAGGAGTGGGAGCAAAGGAGCGAGCGGCGGCAGCAGGAGAAGGAGCAACCGCAGCAGGAGGAGGGGTTGCGGCAGGTGGAGGGGTTGCGGCAGGAGGAGGGGTTGCGGCAGGAGGAGGGGTTGCGGCAGGAGGAGGGGTTGCGGCAGCAGCAGCAAGAGGAGGAGGAGTAGCAGCAGGAGGAGAAGGGGAAGGGGAGAGTCTGCTAGCTGGGCTGAGAATCATGGTACAACCAATTAACCTCTCTCACTCCACCTGTCAAGCATGTGTTAGCCTCTTATCATCCGGTTTACAACCCGCAACCTGTTTTTTCCGATCCCCCTGTTTCCTTTCTCCTGCTGTTTCACTCCCTACCCGGTGCACGCAAGAGCGCCGCACTCCTACTTAGTGCATAAGAGAGCTCTACGGCTCGAACCTTTCTTACCTTGTGAGAACCTTTCTTACCTTGTGAGAACCTTTCTTACCTTGTGAGAACCTTTCTTACCTTGTGAGAACCTTTCTTACCTTGTGAGAACCTTTCTTACCTTGTGAGAACCTTTCTTACCTTGTGAGAAACTTTCTTACCTTGTTAGAACCTTTCTTACCTTGTGAGAACCTTTCTTACCTTGTAAGAACCTTTCTTACCTTGTGAGAACCTTTCTTACCTTGTGAGAACCTTTCTTACCTTGTGAGAACCTTTCTTACCTTGTGAGAACCTTTCTTACCTTGTGAGAAACTTTCTTACCTTGTGAGAACCTTTCTTACCTTGTGAGAAACTTTCTTACCTTGTTAGAACCTTTCTTACCTTGTGAGAACCTTTCTTACCTTGTGAGAACCTTTCTTACCTTGTGAGAACCTTTCTTACCTTGTGAGAACCTTTCTTACCTTGTGAGAACCTTTCTTACCTTGTGAGAACCTTTCTTACCTTGTGAGAACCTTTCTTACCTTGCAACTCGCATTCTGCCCCAACCCGCCCCTCCCTGTCGGTCTCACTAACCTGCCCAATCTCCAGGTGGTGGACGATGCGGCGGTGAATCTGCTGGTGGCGCGCCGCACTCTCTTTCCCCCCAACTTGACCCAACCCACCTCTCCCTGTCTGTCTCGTTCTCCTTCCCTCTCCTGTCGTTCCCTCACCATCAGGTGGTGGACGATGCGGCGGTGAATCTGCTTGTGGCGCGCCGCACTCTCACTCGCAGCGGCGCCACCGTCGCCACCGCAGGCAGTGGGGAGGAGGCGCTGCGGCAAGTCAAGCTCGCTCTGGAGGACACTGCGGGGGCGGTGCATGCACATGTGGATGTGGTGCTCATGGACCTGCAGATGCCCCTTATGGACGGGTGAGTGGCGGTAGGCGGTGGGGCGTTTGGGAGCATGAATGTGCGAGAAGGGTGGACATCACAGGAGGCACATGTGGATATGGTGCTCATGGACCTGCTGATGCCCCTCATGGACGGGTGAGTCGTGTTGTGGGCATGGATGGGAGCGTGGGAGAATTGGGGATTGTGTCGTCCAAGTGGCATGTGCATGTGGTGCTCATGGACCTGCAGATGCCGCTCATGGACGGGTGAGTGGCCTGTGCATTGCTGATGGGTACGTTTTGGGCATGGATGGGTGAGTTGAGTCGCTTGTGTTGGCGGGTGAGAGAGCGAGAGATAGAAAGCTTTACAGGGAGTGGATGTGGTGCTCATGGACCGGTTTTTGAGTCGACTCAAAAACCGACTCATCACACGCGGAGCTTTACAGGGAGTGGATGTGGTGCTCATGGACCGGCGGCGGAGCGCATGCACCTCATGGATGGGTGAGCCATATGCATGGACGGATGAGTCTTGTTAATGCATAGTCAAAGCCTTGACATGAATGCCGCACTTATCACTTTGACTGACTGCCTGTCTGTGGTGTTTGCCAGGAGTCATTCTTCTCCTCTTCCTCCTCCCAATGCTGAGTGCTCTCCACTACTGTCTCTCTCTGTGCCTCGCGGTCATACCCCCCAGGTTCGCAGCCACAGCAGCCATACGAGCACACGAGCAAGCCCTGCTTTGTCATCCTGCATCTCCACCAGAAGCCACAGCCAGAGCAGCAACGGCAGATGCACAATCATGCACACAAGCATCAGTCAACCCCGCCATCCCTCGGCTCCTCATAGTGGCTCTCACAGCAGATGTGGATGCTGAAATCACTCGGCGCTGCCTTGCAAGTGGTTTTGATGGCGTTTTGCAGAAGCCTGTCGACCCAAAGCTGCTGGCGCAACTGCTGCTCCGGCTTGGTTTCCCAAAGCTGTGTGCGCCAGGCTAGGCCGGAGCACTTCGTTCAAATCCGCCGGCTGTAGTGTGGTACATATGTTCTATGCTCAGTGAGCGAGATCAGTTTGCTGTGATGTAAATCCATTTATGTTATTAATTACATTGAAGGCCACAGTTTTACATTTGGTTTGTATCACTGTTTTGTTTTGTTTCCGCCTGCCATCTACAGTGGTCCTGCCACCACCCAGGGATACGCCCTAAGCCGCTCCGGGCTTCACGGAACGCGCCGCGAGGCTAAGCTGACCTCTTCCGGACACGTACTTGACCAGACCAAACCGGACTCCGTCCCCTCTCACCATTCCAGTTTTCATCGAATCCCTAGTTCGATTCAATTCCCTGTTCTGCACGTTGCTCTTCATCAAACTTCCCTCGCCGATTCCTCACGTTTCCAACACCTTCCTTCCACTTCTTCCAATATACCAGTAGGTCATACGCCGCCGTTCTGCACTTCCCCGAATCCCGAGCCAGTTTCAGTTCTTCTCACGTCCGCACTTACTCCATGGCAATTTTTCGTTCATGTAGGTTCTCTTGGGTCATGGTTAGCCTATCATTCTAGCAGACTCTACCTGAACGGGTGTGACCAACTATGACTGTCGATTCGAGAGCAGCGCCCCTTGCCAGAAGCTCAAGTCTGTTAGAGGCGGCTTTGTGGAAGCTTTGAGGGCAGCGACTTCTGGGATGGCTCACAACACTTCTCAGTTGAAATTTGTTGGATTCGAAACGCAGCAAGCCTGCGACACTTCTGGGACGACTCAGAACACTTCTCTGAAAAAACTCCTCTAAGAAACTTCTGGACCGTTCTAGGATTTAGTAGGAACGCAACGCCGTCGCCTAATCATCTATCGGGCAATGTGCGGCGAGGGTCGCAACGCCTCGTGCGGCCTGGTTCTTCACGAAAGGTCCCCTGCTGCGAGCAGTGCTGCCACGCGGCTCTCCCCCTTTCAGATCGCTCGTCGGCCGTCGCACACCGTCGCTCGTCCATCGTCGCACGCCGTCGCTCGTCGCTCGTGGCGCGTCCTCCTTCTCCTGCTCCTTGCCCTCGCTCTCGCAACCCGCCTTGCTGCCGCGTCTGGTGCGCTCGTGATCTGGGCTCTTCCCCTCTCCCTTTTCCTTCTCCTCTCTCCCCTCTTTCCTTCCCCTCTCCTCTCTCCACTCTCCCCATTTTCCCTCTCCCCTCCCCTCTCTCTTCCCCCTCCTCCTCTCTTCTCTACCCCCCTCCCCCTCCCCTCCCCACTCTCCGCTCTCCTCTCCGCCTCCTCTCATCACTCCTTTACTTTCTCTTTCCTTCTCATGTGGCTCTTCACAACATGCGACTGCTGCCACTCGCTTCTGTTGCATGCATGCCACTCGCTTCTGTTGCATGCATGCCACTCTCATGACTTGCTTTTTGAGGCTGTTCAACAACCTTTGAGTCGACTCAAAAGTCATCTCGCGCATCAGATGGTCGTGAGACTTTTTTAGACTTTTTGGAACTTTTCAACAACCCACGGACGTTTCTCCCATGCAGATGACGAGGCCTCTCCTCCACCGCACGATTCTGGGTCATCAGAAGAATCAACGGCGACCACTGTACCCGAGACGGATGCAAAGCTAGACGCTGGTTCGGATTCCAAGCCTGACGCTAGTTCTGACACTAAACCTTCCACCGAGCCTGCTTCCGAGCCTGCCCCTGCCAACAATTTATCAAATTGTAGTTCAAGTGAGTGTCATAGATGTCTCTCCTTTAGAAGGCGATTCCACCATGCCTTATTCTCCATCCCCTTGCGGCATAAACTTAATTTCTCCCTCTGATGTTATTTCCATCCATCCATCCATCCATCCATCCATCCATCCATCCATCCATCCATCCATCCATCCATCCATCCATCCATCCATCCATCCATCCATCCATCCATCCATCCATCCATCCATCCATCCATCCATCCATCCATCCATCCATCCATCCATCCATCCATCCATCCATCCATCCATCCATCCATCCATCCATCTGTTCACTATCCCTTTCCCATACCCTCCCCCGTCCATTCTGCCCCCCAATTCCCTGCATCCCTCCACCCCCTCCCCCAGACGACACCCCCAGCCCATGGGTCTGCCCTTGCAATAACATCTACTGAAGCAATGTGTGTACCTTTCTCCTTCCAAACCCCTGCGCCCTTCCACCCCCTTCCCCAGACAACACCCCCCCAGTATGGGTCTGCCCCTGCAATTCCTCCTTCAACCCATCACCCACCCAACCTCCTAGCACCTCCATCCCCGCTATAGACATCGCCTTTAAGGGCGAGTTTGGGTACGAACTGATTGCAGTTCTGCCGCACGCCTACTGGCATTTCCTCAACGGAACTCTCCGATCCACCAGGGCTTGTGCCTCTCCTCTTTCTTTCCTCTACTATTTCAGCCCCAACCACTCCACAGACCCAGACTGTAAACGCTCCAACGATTACAATTACGTTATTAAACAGTACGGTTTCACCAAGGGCCTTCATTATAGTGACATTCCGCAGTATTGGCATCCCCCTCCGTTAGTGCACCGGACACGGGAGCTGGGGCGAGTGTGGCTGGATGTTCCTGTAGGGGGGGCTCCGCTTGTGATTATAAGCAACAAGTATGAGGTTGAATGGGCAGAACCGCCCATTAATTTCATTGATGTCCCGACCCTTATTACAATTGCACGCGAGTTTCTCGATAAGGGGTATTATGTGGTGTATAACCGGCCTGGGAATTCGATCAACGCAGACCCGGAGCAAGGAGACAGGCTTGATTTGGGGGACCACCCGAGGCTGGCTGAGGAGTTTGGTTCGGAGGCTCGGTTCCGAACCATGCAGCAGATTCACGAGGCTTGGCCGAGCCTAAGTTTCAACGAGGTTCAGTTTCGAATGATGGCCCGAAGCTCCTGTTTCATCAGTGTGCAGGGGGGAACATCTGTACTATCCAGCTACTGGGGTGGGCAGAATATTATACTCTATCGCAAGGGGTGGGAAGGTCCGGGTAGGTCATATGAGAGGATATATCATAGATTGTCGCAGGCAAGGATAGAGGTGACTAGGACGAATGAGGTTCTGCTAGAGAGAGTGCAGGATATGATTCGACGGGACCAGTGCCAAGCGGTGTGATGCTTCAAGTTACGGTACACCTGGCCTTTCACCTGACCTGAACCCTGAACCCTGAAGCATAACTGTGCGTACACTATGTACCTATCTCTTTCTGTGAGTGCTTCGTTATAAGCCCAGCAACTGGCGGCATGCTTCCAGCAACTTGCAACAAAACCAGTTTCACTGGTAGAGGCATGCCCTGACAAGCCCTGCCATCCACCTCCCTAATACCTAGGCGTTATTAGGAAATGATGGTGCAGGACCATCAACTTCCCCATGCGTACAACGCGTGCAATGCGCACTAGCAAATTCCGGTTCAACTACCTGGTTTTAATACCCTGAAGCATGAAGAACAAGACACATTAGGCACCTTGTTAACAATTATATACAGCGTAATTAGCTCCAATCCAGGGTGGTGTAACAATGGCTTCTGCCGAAGCCCCTCCTGCCCCTCCTGCTCGTCTTGCTTGCCATCTACTGCTGCTGAGGCCTTCGGCGTTTTCCCTCGTACTTACGGTACTTGTCTATTTACACTGGGTGTGCTCACTAACAATCAACACCAGCGCACAGACCACAGACCCAGTGGCCTTAACTGCAATCGCAATTACTGCCGCTGCTGCTGCTGCTGCTGCTGCTTGTGCTGTTGCTGCTGCTGTTTATGCTCTTGCTGCTGTTGCTCCAGCTCTGCCCGACGCTGCACCAGCATAGACGACAGCACAGCAGGCAGGCACGACCACACCACCAGCCGTGGTGGCAATCTCCGGCACCCACTGATCCCGCACCATCACAAAGTAACTTACTGCTGCTGACCTGCTTCTGCTGCTGCTGCTGCTGTTACTTCTACTGCTTTTCCTGCTGCTGCTGCTCGTTCTGCTTCTGCTGTTGCTCCACTTCCCCTGGCTGCACAAGCCTAGGCGGCAGCACAGCGGGCACCACCACACCAGCAGCTGTAGTAGCAATTTCCGGCACCCGCGGCACCCACTGATCGGGCACCATCACAAAGTACGTCTGCATGGCCTTCCGGAACCGTTTCTTGTAGTTCGATGGAGATATGACCGTCGGTGTAGAGTCCTTGCCTGCCCCGCCGCCCCCTAGAAGCCCAGACGCCTTGACCCATGTTTCCAGCTGCTTGTCCCATGTGTAGGGGCGGATAAAGTCTATGATTCCCACCACCAGTGTTGCCCGCTCCTCTTCTACCCCTACCAGGAGCGAATAGTCCATTATTGCATGTCTCTGGAGGTGGGGGAGGGGGAGCAGGTGGGAAGGTATGGTGTGTATGGGGAATCAGGGGCAGTCCAGACGCCCAGACGCCCAGACGCCCAGACGCCTTGACCCACGTTTCCAGCTGCTTGTCCCATGTGCAGGGGCGGATGAAGTCGATTATCCCCACCACCAGTGTGGATCGCTCCTCTTCTACCCCTACGAGCAGAGAATAGTCCACTACGTTCCCTTCCCCATCTCCAGTCCACTATTGCGTGTTTCTGGAGATGGGGAATGGAACGGAACAGGTGGAGAGGGGTGGTGAGTGAACCATTACATTTGTACCTGATTCTCAACCGCTCTCATAACACCGCGAGGAAGGCAGAGTCGTTCCAAACGTCCTGCTCTCAACCGCTCTCAACCCCTCTCATCTCGTCTCACCGCGAGGAAGGCACACGGCCCGCTCCAGCAGCTGCTTGGAGGTCAACACCTACCCCACCCACCTGATTCTCAAACTGCTCTCAACCGCTCTCAATCCTTCTCGTCTCAGCGCGAGGAATGTAGTGTCGTTCCACACAGTGCGCTCCAGCAGCTGCTTGGAGGTCAACACCTACCCCACCCATCTGATTCTCAAACTGCTCTCAACCGCTCTCAATCCCTCTCGTCTCACCGCGAGGAATGCAGTGTCGTTCCACACAGCACGCTCCAGCAGCTGCTTGGATCGTTTTCCCACGAAGATGGGCGACGTGGGCATGGCTTCTAGAAGGTTCTCGTCCAGCAGTACCTGGGATGATGGAGGGGAAGAAGGGAAATGGGGAAAGGGGGATGAGGGGTTTGGGGCTTAGGGGAGGCATGACGTGGGCATGGCTTCTAGAAGGTTCTCGTCCAGCAGTACCTGGGATGATGGAGGGGAAGAAGGGAAATGAGGAAAGGGGGATGAGGGGTTCGGGGCTTAGGGGAGGCATGACGTGGGCATGGCTTCTAGAAGGTTCTCGACCAGCAGGTATCTGATATGAGAGGGCGTGAGGGGGAGGTGGGTTTGAGGAGGAGAACGAGAAGGGAGAGGAATTGCAACAGAGAGTGGAAGATGGGGGACGTGGGCATGGCCTCTAGTAGGTACTCGTCCAGCAGTACCTGGGGTGAGGAGAGAGGGGGAGGAGGGAAGAGAATGGGAAAGAGACGGGGGAAACGAGGACTTAATGTGGGAATGATTTATCACAAATGCATGTACAGGAAAGCCGTACCACAGGTGTATGTACAGGTCCCCCCACCCTACCCCACCCTACCCCACGCAGCCCCTTGCTCACGCACCCTGCTCTTGGAGCGGTCTGCGTTGTATCTGGAGCGACGAGAGCCCTTGAGATCGTAGAGCTTGGTGATCCGACGGCCGTAGAGCAGGTTCTCCATGACCATCACGTCCATAGTCACGCCCTTTGCTGTCACCTGCAGACAGGCACACGCATGCACGCATGGGACACAAGGTGGAGAGAGAGAGGAACAGAGAACGGAGAGCAGAGCCAAGGCATTAATCGGCTAAGAAATCGTATCTCCATGACCATCACGTCCATAATCACACCCTTTGCTGTCACCTGCTGCACCATTCACGCGCACGGGACGCGCAAGATGCAGAGAGAAGGGAGCAGAGAGCAAAGTAATTTTTTTAGTGGATTTAAAAGAGGGCAGAGAGCAGGCTTTTCATCGCCATGACGTCCCAAGTCACGCCCTTCTTAGCCTAACAACATTACTTTGAATCAACCACACCCGTCACACACTATCCCCCACACACACTATTCCCCACACACACTATCCCCCACACACACTATCCCCCACACACACTATCCCCCACACACACTATCCCCCACACACACCTCACAACCACACCTGGTAGAGGCCGAGGATCTTGGCAAGCTATTGACTTCACTCCAGAGTCACGTTTAGTTGACTTCAAACCCACCACACACAACCTTCCACCACACACAACCTTCCACCCGCACAGACCCGTCAGAAGCGTGCACACCTGGTAGAGGCCGAGGATCTTGGCAAGGCAGGAGGGGTTGCCAGACTCGATGGCGTCAAAGAGGTGCTTGAAGTAGTCGTTGGCGAAGTCCAGGAATGCCAGTATCTCCTTGCGTTGCACCTTATAACGGGGATGAGGGAGATTGGAGGGGGAAAACACAAGGGCTTGGCTGTAAGTGGAAGAAAAATATGAGAGAGAGAGAGAGAGAGAGAGAGAGAGAGAGAGAGAGAGAGAGAGAGAGAGAGAGAGAGAGAAAGAGAGAAAAAAAAAATGAGGGGGGGTGGGGGGGGGAGAGGCGGGGGAGAGGAGAAGGAAGAGGAGAGGAGAGCGCAGAGGCGAGGAGAGGGCAGAGGGAGGGCAGAGCCAGAGGATAGGAGAGGTCACCCCACCTGTTTGAGTCGACTCAAAAAGAGGGAGAGAAGAGGGAGGGCAGAGGGAGGGCAGAGGGAGGGCAGAGCTAGAGGACAGGAGAGGTCGCCCCACCTGTTTGATGACAAAACTGTCGTCCGCAGTCTTGGCGAAATACAAAGAGGTCAGAAAACCAATTATACTTTGAGAAATTAAAAAGCTTCGCCCCACCTGTTTGATGACAAAGCGGTCGTCCGCAGTCTTGGCAAAATACACGGAGCTCTTGCCGCCCTCGGCACTCCAGCGCTTGCAGCGGCACAGCGAGCGCACAAACTCCACATCGCCACTCCCGTCCACCACCCCTTCCCCTGCCGCCGCTGCGCCTGCCGCCCCTGCTGCTCCTGCTGTCCCCGCTGCTGTCCCTTCTCCTGTGTCAGCTCCAGCCTTCTGCTGACTGGATGAGGCAGCGGCCGGGGCGAGCGGGGGGAAGGGCGAGCAGCACTTGCGGCGGAGAGCGTCAAACTGCTTGGCGAAATAAGCGGTCACTTGGAATGACGCTGCAGAGCCGCTCCCCCCACCAACCCCACCAGCAATCCCACGGCGGCGGCTACTGCTACCGGCACCCACCGGCGTCGACGCACCACTGCCTATACCGCCACTGTTCATGCCACTGCTGGTCATGCCGCCAATGCCGCTAATGCCGCTGCTGCCTACAGTGCCAGAGGTGCCAGCAGGGTTGGTGCTGGGGCCGGGGAGGAAGGGTAGTGCAGGAAAGGGCAGGGTATCGTCACCTCCCCCTACTGTGAATGCCACTTTCACGTGCCGCTTCTCCCGGGATAAAAGCGGGTCCTCCTGAGACGGCACTGGCACTGCTGTTTCTTCCCGGGCTGGCACAGGCAGTGGCACTGTGTCACCCCCGGCTGGCTGCGCTTGTAATGGTTCCTGCTGCGATTGCAACGCTTCTGGCTGTGCTTGAGAAGCTTCCTGTTGTGATTGCGATGCTTCTGACCCTGGTTGTGACGCTTCTTGTTGCACTTGTTGCGCTGTCTCCGGCTTTGCCTGTAACGGATCGTGCTGTACCGAGGATGCAGGCTGAGGGTCTTGCGGCGACAGCCCAGGGCCAGCATCTGCCTTGCATACTCCCTCCTCCTCTCCGGAATCAACGCACCTGCCTCCACCACTAGCGCCACTGCCCTCAGCAGCAGCACCATCATCAGCAACATCAACACCAGGACTAGCACCATCCCCCTCCACTCCTACTGGCGTTCTCAGCTCGGCCCTAGATCCTACCCCACCACTCTCAACTCCCTCGCTATCTTCTCTACCTGGCCCCACACCTCTGCTCGCCAACCCAGCCCCACTACCAGCAACCCCATTCGGGTCATCCCCTTCCCCATCACCATCCTCGCTCTCTCCCCTACACGCTCCCATCCCCTCTGCACTAACAACACTTCCATCAGACGATGCCCGCATTTTTGCAGCACTGTCTGCTGAAGCAGCATCTGGCTCATGGCTCTGCCCTTTGTTGTGCGTCGAACTGCCATTGCCATGGGCCACTGATGCTGCTTCACTACCTCCTCCATCGTCTCCCCCACCAAGGCTTCTGCCCTCTGCAGCCCCACACACTTCTCCTGCTGCTGCTGCTGCTGCTGCTGCTGCTGCTGCTGCTGCTGCTGCTGCTGCTGCTGCTACTCCTGCACCTAAGCTCGCTAACTCTGCTCCACTTCCCTCTCCCCTTCCTGTAATTAGATCGACTCCTCTCCCTTCTCCTGCTGCTGACTCCTTACCTGCTGCCTCTGCACCTGTAGTAGACTGTACATCCACTGCTGCGCCAGCATCTGTGCTGGCTGCTGCAGGTTCTAACGGCCTGGTAGCAGCACCGGCCGGAGAGGCATCGGTGCGACAGGTGTTCCGCGTGAGTGAATCTTCTGGAGGGGCAGCACTGCTGCAAGTCGCCTCTTCTCTAGCTGCTCCTTCTGCGCCTGCTGAACTGGAAACGGCTCCTCCGGCTGCCACTGCTGCTACTGGACTTCCTTGTCCTGATGCTGCTGTTGCTGCTGCTGCTGCTCCTCCTCCTGCTGCAGCATCCAACTCAACCACTGCCGCCGCCGCCGCCACTGCTGCTGCAGCCGCAGCTGCTGCAGAGGCTTGCCTCACCAGCTCACCCACTGCTTTCGCCCCCACCACCTCCGATTCCACCACTCTGCCACTCCCCCCAACCCCCCTGGCCGATACTCCAGGCCCAAACACACTCCCTATTTGCCCCACATTCACACCCACACCTGCACCAGCACCCACACCAGCACTCGCAATCCCTCCCCCAGCAGCAGACGCATTAGCGACAGCAGCAGCACCACTATTGGCGTTTTGAGCAGTGGAACCGAGGACAGCAGCGGCACCATGCACGGCGCGGTAATACTCATTGGACGAGATGGCATAGGCGATGAGCGACGTGGGCTCGTCCTCATACACCGCTATGATGCGCCCGCCGATGCCGGGGGGGAGCAGCACATGTGCTCGGCCAAGCAAGGCCGGAGGGTACTGCTGGAGAACGGGGAACATGTGTATAAACAAAATGGAATGAAACATTTTGTAGGGTTTTTTTTTCTTAGAATTCTCAATAAAACCCTACAGCAACGGGGAACATGTGTATAAACAAAAAGGAATGAAACATTTTGCACACAGAACAGTGATCGAGGGAGGAATTTGAAAAACGACTACACAGATGCGTGCACCAGCTTGCCAATGGCTCACAGCACGTATATGCATCCACGCATGCATGCCAGTGCATGCCAGTGCATGGCAATGCATGGCAATGCATGGCAATGCATGGCAATGCATGGCGATGCATGGCGGTGCATGGCAATGCATGGCGATGCATGGCGATGCATGGCGATGCATGGCGATGCATGGCGGTGCATGGCGGTGCATGGCGATGCATGGCGGTGCATGGCGATGCATGGCGATGCATGGCGGTGCATGGCGGTGCATGGCGATGCATGGCGGTGCATGCATGACCTTGCTACGCTTACCAGCTTGCCAATGGAAGCCAGAGACGGCACACCACTGGAGGGGCCGGCCAGGGAGAGGAAGGATGGTGAGCGGGAGAGGGGCGAGGCTGTTGTGCCTGTGGCAGGGTGGTTGATAGGCGTGCCTGCAAGCGGCCTGCTGCTGCTGCCTGCTGTATTGCAGCTGAAGGAACGTACTGGTGCTGCTGCCGCCTCCTCTGACGCTGCTGCTGCTGCTGCATCAGCTTCGGCAGCACCAGCAGCACCAGCAGCATCAGCAACAGCAGTAGCAGCAGCAGCAGCAGCAGCAGCAGCAGAAACAGTGGTAGCTGGCAGAGCTGCAGACTCAGGTGTGGTTGTTGCAGTTGCAGCTGGCACAGCAGCAGCGGAGGGTGCTGCGTCTGCATCCCTGGTCGACTCATGCAGAGAATCTCCAGAGGCAATTGCAGGGGAGCAAGCAGCTGGACCTGCTTCTACACCTCCTGTTGCTGCCTCTGCTGCTGCGGACCCTGTTCCACTGTTAATGGCCGTTGCTGCTGCTGCTGCTGGATGGGCAACTGCAGGCGCTACTGTTGCGGTTGGTGTTTCTTCTGCAGGACCCTTGCTGCCACTTGCTGCTGCTGCCGGTGCGCTTGCTGCTGCTATCTTCGCGCTCGCTGCTGGTGATGGTGCATCTGCTGTGCCCCCAGAAGCCACCGAGCCACCAGGCAGCGGCGCACGGGGAGGGAGGCTGGAGCGACGAGAGAGACGCGGAGTGCTAGCAGCAGCAGCTGGGGGTGCCACCAATGCGCCTGAAGCAGCTAATGACAGTACTGGTGTCACTGCTGGCACAGACACTGTTCGTGCGTCTGCTGAGATGGCCAGAGATTCTTTCAGCTGCTGTTCTCCAAGTTTCCTTCCTTGCTCCTCAACTCTCTCCTCATCCTCAGCTCCTCTTGCTCCACCTGCGTTGTTCCTCTCGTCGACCCCATCCCCTCTCGTTCCACCCTCCTCCCTCCTCTCCTCACCCCCCTGCTCAGCACTCCGCCCCTCCTCCTCTCGCATTTCCCTTTCCCTGCTCCAATCAGAGAAGCTACAGCTACCAGCGTCTCTCCCGTCTCTCCCGTCTCTCACGTCCCTCCCACTCTCCAACGCCACAGCAGCGCCCTGTGCTGTCCCATCAGTCCCATCAGTCTCATCAGAATCATCAGTCTCAGAATGAGCGCTGCCCCCGCACTCTGCAGCAGCATCAGCAACCATCTCCCTCACACCCACCCCATCCACACTATCACCAGCCTCAGAAGAAAATTCCTCCTTCTTTCCCTCCTCAAAATTCCCCGCATCCTCTTCTGCTGTCTCCTCCACTTCACCTGCAACCTCTGCCGCACTCACCTTGTCTGTCCCCATTGCGTTTTCCTCCCCTGCGTTCTCCTCCTCTTCCGTTCCCTCCCGTGCGTTTCCCTCCCCTGCCTTCTCCTCGTTTGTCCTCTCCTCCCCTGTCTCGCCTTCCTCTGTCTGCTTCTCCCCCGCCTTCTCCTCGCTTTCCTCCGCCGCCCCTGCCTTCACCTCAACATCTCTTTCCCCATCCCTTTCCTCGCCCACCTGAGCCTGTCCCTCCACCAGCGATGCAGCACTGTTGACGCTGGCAGGTCGGGAGAATGGGAGCAGGAACGACCCCCATGCGCCTGACAGAGCACTGCTTAGACCTGCTGCCATGCTCGGCCTCACTGATTCTGTCGCTGCCGCTGGTGCTGCTGCTGGCGCTGGTGCTGATGCTGCGGCTGACTGTGTTGGTTTTGCAGCCGGTGCTGCTTCCGCTGATGGTGGTGGTGGTGCTGCTGCCGCTTTTCCTGCTTCTGTGGCTGTTTCTGGTGCAGGTGCTGGAGTTGGTGCAGCTGTTGCTGCCATTGCTGTTACCACTGCTCCTGCTGGTGCTTCTTCTGCCGCAACTGCTGCTGTCGGCACTGCTCCAGGTAACACAGTTACAGCCACTGCAGATGAAGCAGGTATAGAAACTCCTGGTAACACAACTGGTAGAACCGATGGTAAGGCTGCTGCTGGTAGGACAGATGGTGAGGCTACTGGTAGGGCTGATGGCAAGGCCGCTGAAACGGCAGCAGGGAAGGAGGCCCACACAGGGAGATGTCCGACTGACAGCACACGTGGCACCACTGCTGCTCCTGCCACTCCAACCGCCCAGTCAGCAACTGCTGCAGCATCCGCTGCTGACTCAGCGACCGCCACGTCAGCTGCCACGTCAGCACCAAGGAGAGCAGCAGGACCATTTGCCTGTGCGGCTGCTGGTGCAGTGGCAACGGGAGTGGCGGCCTCGGTGGCAGCTGCAGCTGCAGAAGCAGAAGAAACTGCAGGAGTGATAGCAGCAAAAGCAGCAACAGCAGCAGCTGCTGCTGTAGCAACTCCTCCTCCTGCCACAGGAGCAACAGCAAGAGCAGCGGCAGGACCAGCAGCACTACCAACAGCGGCCTCAGCGCCTTGTATTGCCAGCCCTGGACTGTCTTTGCCACCCCCCCCTGCTGATCCCTGGCTCGCAGTCACAGTAAGGGGCGCCATGCTCTCATCATTCGCCTCTGGCTTCTCCTCCTCAAATGCATCTATGATACCCACTCGCAGCATGCTGCTTGCCTCAGCCTCGCACTCACTCTCAGCGTCACCACCTTGTGCATGTAGGGCTACCGCCTCACCGCTTTCCCCCACTTCTCCCTTACTGCCACCCTCTACATTCCCATGCATATCACTTGCTTTAACACCCTCCTCTCCCTTCTCCTCCAACCCACTCCCCTTAACACCCTCCTCTCCTCCAACTCCCTCCACTCCATCCTCTCCCTTCCCCTCCACTCCACTCTCCTCCACTCCTCCTTTCCCACCATCAAGCAACACGCTCCCAGAACCACTCTCAACCTCCTGCTCTCCCTCGTATTTAACCTCCTTCCCCGAAGCTTTCAATACTGGCAAAAGGGACTCTTCTGTCCCTGCTTGTCGGGCCTCTGTTCCTGCTGCATCCGGTTCCCGGGCCTCTATTTCCCGAGCCTCCGTCTCCCAGGCCTTCTTTCGCCGAGCCTCAGCGGCCCGGGCGGCGAGGTCTAGAGTGGCACTGAACAGCCCCACGGAGTCATCCCTATCCCTGCCTTGCACCTCCAGAGACCCGCCTTCTACCTGCCGCTGCGGCTGTTTCGGGCTGGCTTTTGGTGGCGAATCATTGGATGACACCTGTCCCGTAGCTAGACCAGCGCCTTTCCTGCCGTCTGGTGGCCTTGCTTCTTCTCCACCTGTTTCTGACGCTGCTTCTGCCTCAAGTGCAGCTACTGGTGCTTCGGATTGCATTGGGGTTGCTGCCATGACTGCTGCTCGTTGCTGTGGTGGCTGTTGAATCTCCGCCGTTAATCTTTGCAGCCGCTCCGCCCACTCAGCCAATTGGCCGGTCAGATCTCGCCGCACCCGGTTCAGCTCCAGAATGTCCGTCACGGGCTGCCCAGCGGGCAGACTAAAATCCGGTGCTGCCTGCTGGAGTTTATTCTGTGGAGGGAACAGTGGAGACATGGAAGAGAAGCGCAGGAGGCAGGAAGAAAAGCAAGCAGCAGCTGAGAAGCCATAGTTGTGAGATATGTGCATGGCGAATTCTTGAGACATGAGACGAATGAGGCGCTTCAGGAAGCGAGAAACAACAAGACCAGGTCGGTCAGTGGGTCGGTCAGTCAATCGGTCGGTCGGGATGTCGGTATGCATTGGTCGGTCAGTCAGTCCCCTATCATTATACATGCTTTCCCATGCAGTGCCACCCATCTTATCACACACGAACATCAAATGCCCATCGACACAGCACAGCACAGCACAGCACATCACCACACTACACACACCACACCACCACACTACACACACCACACCACCACACTACACACACCACACCACCACACTACACACACCACACCACCACACTACACACACCACACCACCACACTACACACACCACACCACCTTCCTTCCCACACTCTCGACCCGACCGACTCACATCAAACACGGCCTTATCGCGCTGCAGGGTAGCCTCCAGCAGCGCCAGGCTGGCCCGGGCCTCGGGGAAGCGGCTGGCAGACAGCGGGCCGCCCTGTGCCAGTCGCGCTGCAAGCGCATCGAGAGCGTTCATGATGTCCATGAACACGCGCTCCGCTGCCTCCGCCACCTGCAGGATGTGAGAGAAAGGGAGCAGAGAGACAGGGATGTGCGTTGAGGTGCCTTGTACTGCTACAACCTCCCAGTGCCAGATGGGCTGTCAGCGCATCAAGCGCGTTCATGATGTCCATGCACACGCGCTCCGCTGCCTCCGCTACCTGTAAGGGAGAAGGAGAGAGGGAGGGAGATAGGTGTGTTGAAACAGATAACGGGCTGGCCCCCACCAGACGGGCTGGCCCCCACCAGACGGGCTGGCCCCCACCAGACGGGCTGGCCCCCACCAGACGGGCTGCGAGGGCGCCAAGCGCGTTCATGATGTCCATGAGCACGCGCCACCTGTGGGGGGGAGAGAGGGAGTGGAAACAAGGTGATGAGATGCCTTGCACTGCTGCAACCTCTTGACAACAGGCGGGTTGTGAGGGCGCCAAGCGCGTTCATGATGTCCATGACGACTCGCTCCGCTGCCTCCGCCACCTGTGAGTGAAAGGGAGAGCGGGAGAGAAGAGGGACAAGAGGTGGTTTGGGGCACATTGCAACCGTCCGCCACAATGCGCGCAGCGAGGGCGTCAAGCGCGTTCATGATGTTCATGACAACTTGCTCCGCTGCCTCCGCTACCTGTGGGGGCGTAGGGAGGCAAGCAGAAAGGTGGTGTGTTGGGGGACACAGAATCCTCTTAGCATCGGGCAGGCTGCAAGAGCGTCAAGGGCGTTCAAGATGTCATGGTGCTTGAAGCTCAGACACTGTAATACGAATATAATTTAACCAAGTCAACGCAGTCAACCGAGTCAACAGCAGCAGCACTCACATCGTTAAATTCGTCCACGAGCCATTGCTGCTGCTGGCGGTGGTTGAAGCTGAGGCGTAGAGGCGGCAGGCAGACGGAGTAGAGGTGCATGGGCGAGTAGGCCAGGCATGCTATCATCTCGCCACTCCTGCTCACAGGGACAAACATGCACGGTACGGGCAAAACGAATGGTACTTGTGGAGAGGGCGGGCGATTCTAATTGACTAGATGATCCACGTGAACAGGGCAGTAAGTGGGTGGCTGCAGGCTGCAGCAGCACAAGCACGGGGGGCTGAGGTAATGCCAGCAAGTAATCAGAATGCAAACCGCAATGCAATCTTTGTGGCACCCATCCACTAGTAGAAGCGCAGGCAGTCGCGGTGCAGCGAGTGGCCGCAGGCAAATCAGCACATGCAGAGCAGGACAGATGGACATAACGCCATTCCACCAACAACCATTCCCCTACCTATGTAAAGAAGCGCCGTGCAATCACCATGGCATGGCACCCACCGGTAGAAGCGCAGGCAGTCGCGGTGCAGCGAGTGCCCACACGCCGCCAGCCGCCCCACCACCACATGATTCGTGAACGAAAGCTCCAGGAACTTTCCCAGCGACAGCTTGCACGCCGCCTCGGACATGAGCACGCGGCGCGTGGCCGGCGCCACTCCGTCCACCGGGCGGCACTGCCGGCAGCGGTGCCACATCCAGATGCACCGGGGGGCAGCGGGCGGCGGGCATGCACCGCCCACAGCAGCAGCACCAGACGACCCAACAGACACACCACCAGACACACCACCAGACACACCACCAGACACACCACCAGACACACCACCAGACACACCAGCGTCCTGACCACACCCCATATCCCCCTCCCCTGCTGCTCCACTCGTCCCCCCTCCCCCGTACCCCCCTCCGCTGCCCCCATAGGTTCCTCTCCCCCCGCTTGCTCCCCCTCCCCCTGGCAGTTGCAGGGGGTGTGTGGGGGGGAGGATGTCGTCTGCCTTGCGCACGGAGATGGTGAGGGAGCCCTCCTTGTGTGAGTAGACTCGCACGTGGTCCTGTGATGGCATGCCGCACTTGCAGCGCTGACAGGGAGGAAGGGGCATAAGCGTGAGAGAAACGGAAACATGGAGAGGAGAAGGATGTCGTCTGCCTTGCGCACGGAGATGGTGAGGGAGCCCTCCTTGTGTGAGTAGACTCGCACGTGGTCCTGTGATGGCATGCCGCACTTGCAGCGCTGACAGGGAGGAAGGGGCATAAGCGTGAGAGAAACGGAAACATGGAGAGGAGAAGGATGTCGTCTGCCTTGCGCACGGAGATTGTGAGGGAGCCTTCTTTGTGTGAGTAGACTCGCACGTGGTCCTGTGATGGCATGCCGCACTTGCAGCGCTGACAGGAGCAAGGAGGGATGGAAGGGAAGAGGGATGGGGAAACAGGGGGGAAGGGGGGCATGGAGGGGTTCGGGAGGGAGCCTTCCTTGTGCAATTACATACGTTATCTCGTGATGGCATGGCGCACTTGCATTGCAGCACTGACGAGAGGAAGGATGAACACGGAGCGAAGGGGAAGACGGAGGAAGGGAGAATGTCACTGGCCTTGCATGGAGACTGGAAGTGAGGCCTTAAGTGGATTAACTCCTTATCGTGCCTTATTAACTCCTTATTGTGCCTTATTAACTCCTTAATGTGCCTTATTAACTCCTTAATGTGCCTTATTAACTCCTTATTGTGCCTTATTAACTCCTTATTGTGCCTTATTAACTCCTTATTGTGCCTTATTAACTCCTTATTGTGCCTTATTAACTCCTTCTTGTGCCTTATTAACTCCTTATCGTGCCTTATTAACTCCTTATTGTGCCTTATTAACTCCTTATTGTGCCTTATTAACTCCTTATTGTGCCTTATTAACTCCTTATTGTGCCTTATTAACTCCTTATTGTGCCTTATTAACTCCTTATTGTGCCTTATTAACTCCTTGTGCCTTATTAACTCCTTCTTGTGCCTTATTAACTCCTTATCGTGCCTTATGAGTCCACTTAAACGTCTTCAAACATCAAGCCCAGTCACGCACAGCACTCACCCAGAGAGGATTAAGCACGAACTGGGTGAGAAAGTGCCCCAGAGGCATGTCCCTATCGCCGTAGTACTTGATTCTCATCAGCTCCGGCGGCTCACACAGCAGCTTGCGCGACACACAGCGGCTGGACGCCCACACCAGGATCGACTGGTGCTCTGAGGGGGACACCGGCGCCAGTGGGTGGGCCAGGTGGGGCTGCGGGGTGAGTGGGGCGAGCTGGGACTGTGCTGCGAGAGAGGGGGGAATTGCGAGCGGCTGAGGAGAGGGGTCTTTCCTTTCTTCTGCTGCTGGTGCCACGGCTGCTGCTGGTGCTGTGGCTGCTGTTGGTAGTGGGAGTGGTGGTGCGTCAGGCGCTGCTTCTGGGGTGGTGGATGGGGATGCGTCCGTCATAAGAACCCCCCCGCTTTGTACAGTTGCAGTGGGAAATGCATCACCAGCAGCAGCAGCAGCAGCAGCAGAAGCATCGGAATCTGTTCCTTCCAGCAAAATCGCAATGCCAACCCCCCCCTGCTGCCGCTGCTGCTCCGGCTGCTGTGGAGGAGGAGGAGAAAGCACCCCTGCAGGCTGCTGTGATTGATTCAAGGGCAGCTCCTCACCCACCAGTGGCTGCTGCCCCTGTGCTGATGCATGCGCCATCATCCCCTCACCACCTGCTACCTCTGCTGGTGCTGGTGCTGCAGCTGCTGCTACAGCAGGCAATTCACTCTCCAACGCCCCTCCTTGTGTTGCCGCATTCACTTCACTCTTCTTTCCTTCACCAGCAGCAGCACCAGCAGCAGCAGCAGCAGCAACCTTCTTCGCCTCACACGCTGTTGATCCCCCTGCCGCCTCACCTGCTGCCTCCCCTGCCCCTCTACCTGAGTTTCCTTCTCCTCCTGTTTCCCCAGTGCCCGCCTCCTCTTTGTTTCGACCTTCACTGTCTTCTGGAGCCTCCCTCACATGCTCCTCAATCTTTCTCACACCCTCCCCACTCTCCCTCACACACTCTCTCACAGAAGACACCCCACTAGCCCATAGAGATGCTGATAGCTGTGCGATTCGGCGAGGCGACGGCCTGTTGCTGCCAGTGCTGCTGCTACTAGCGGGTACAGATGTGACTATAGCAGGAGGCGGGGTGATAATACTACCAGCACTGATTCCGGCTGAACGATTGACAGCAGCAGGTTCATCTGTGGAAGCCACGTCAGCAGCCATGACGTCAGCAAGCAGATGAGGCTGCGCTGCCGGAACATCACTGGCCAATGGCGGCACGCCAGCTGGCAGATGAGAGCCAACGAGAGCACCAGAGACCTGTGCCTGTGCTAGTCTATCTTGCTCCCCACAATCACCCTCCCCAATCCCACCATCTCTAGGCCGTGCTGGAGCATCAACAGCGGCAGATTCACCTGAGAAAGCCGCCTCAGCAGCAGCAGCACCCGCACCAGCAGCAGGAGGAGGAGGATCAACAGCAACCGCGGGAAACGGGGCAGCAGCAGCAGCAGCAGCAGCAGGAGCGGAAATGAGAGGAGCAGCAGGAGCAGGAGGAGGTAACGCGGCACAGAGAGGAGGGCAGGGAGCGATGCCGGGGGGGAGGGCGCCTTCGTCTGCAAGGAAGGAGGTCTCGAGGGCGAGGTGGTAGGAGGCGAACACTGCAAAGTGCATCACCCTCTTCACCCTCTTCAGCTCCGCTGTAGGCGCCCCCATCAGCAGCACCTGCTTGGGCAGGAAGGGGGGAAGGGCAGTGGTGGGGCTGTGAGTCCGAGAACTGAAGTCCAGGCATGGCAAGTGCATCACCCTCTTCACCCTCTTCACCTGCTTCACCTGCTTCAGCTCCGATGAAGGCGCCCCCATCAGCAGCACCTGCTTGAGGTAAGAAAAACCGAGGGTAGCAGACCGGGAGAGGGGGAAGTGAGGATGGGTGAGGAGAGGATAGGTCCCACCCAGGCATGTGAAGCGCATCACCGATAATGCTTCGCTTGGCTCACTTGAGCAGGCACATTGGATGGACGCACGGCATTAGAGGTCGTTTTTGAGGCGCCTCAAAAACGACCTCACTTGAGCAGACACATTGGATGGACGCACGGCATTAGAGAAACGGCACATGCATCCCTCAACCGCGTTGCAAACAGTACGACTCTCGTGGCTTGAGAGAACGAGGGTGAGGCTGAAATCCAGCCAAGGGATATTATTTCTCAGAAAGTATTCTCTTCTTTGAGTGAAACCAAGGGTGAAAAGAAAGGTCTCGGAGTGAAGAAGCACATACAGTGCAGCCGAGAGGGATCGGGCAGCCCTCAAGAAACAACAGCGTCTTCACGTTCTTGCGACCACCCCCAGCACCACAACCAGCAGCTATGCTGCCACCACCGCCACCACCACCCGTCGCAGCCCCCCTCCCCCTGCCTCCCCCCACACCAGCCTGTGGCCCCACCCCACCGCCACCGCTCCCCACCGCATCCCACTCCTCCACAAACTTCCTCGTCCAGAACCGCTGGCACTGCCCCAGCCTGTCAAGGGTCTCAGCGGACTGGGCCACTTTAGCTCCCGTGCAGCGCGCCACTCTCTCCAGCAGCGAGCGCTTGACATTGAAGACCAGAGACATGCGGTGCTCCACCATCCACTGCTGCGCGAACCCTGACACTGTTCCCTCCACTAACAACACACTGCCGCCCACCTGCCCGCCCACCTGCCCGCCCGCTTGCCCGCCCATCTGCCCGCCCGTGTTAGCTGGCGGCATGGAGGCTGCTGAGGCGGTTGGGGGGATTGAGAAAGGGCCATTGCTGCCTGTGGTGTTGCTGTTGGTGGTGGCGGGGGTGGAGGGGTAGCTAGAGAGGCTGTGAGTGCTCCCCATGCTGCTGTAGCGAGATAATCCGCCTGGAGCCGGGCCCGCCGGAGCTTGGTTGTATGTGCTGTTGCTGGTGTTATAGGTGTTGCTGTTGCTGTTGCTGTATGTACTGTTGCTGTTGTAGGTGCTGCTGCTGCCAGTGCTGATGATGCTTCCCGTGGTGCTGCTGGCATTGCTGCCCGTCCTCCTATGCCCACCCCCACCACCACCCCCAGCAGCAGCACCATACCCACCCCCAAACCCCCCAACAGCAGCCCCCCCACCGCTATTAACACCACCAAAAGCACCACTCCCAAGCACCCCAGTCTGCCTCGTGAGCCCTGAACCCAACTCCCCTTCACCCCGGAAACCCCGGCCCCTTGCCCCCGCTGCTGCTCCCGTGGGTGTGGTTGGAACAGAGAGTGCGCCATGGCTGCTGGGCGGCCCCTGTGGGTAGCCTTGTGGGTAGCCTTGTGGGTAGCCTTGTAAGTGGCCTTGCAAGGAGGCTTGCAAGGGGGCTTGTACAGGGGCTTGTGGGGGGGGGGGTCGGGGGAACTTGCGCTCGATCTTCTGCAGCATGTGGCGCAGATGGGTCTCTTGCTGCACGATAGAGGAGGGAGGGGAAGCAAGAGAAGAAAACGGAGAGAGAGGAATGGCAGGCTGACTTTTGAGTCGACTCAAAAGTCAGCTCATTACAATGTCACACGAAAACGGAGAGAGTGACGAGAACAAAGAAGAATGGCAGGTCAGCCAGCCAGCCAGACCATGACGACTTTTGAGACGTCTCAAAAGCCAGCCAGACCATGACTGAACCATGTCCTTGGAAGCTAAGTCCAGAGTAAGTACGAATAAGATCCATCAGCCTAATCCAGCCTTAGTCAGCCGCAGTCAACCGCAATGAACCTGTGCCCACCTGGGCGAGCAGCGTGTCGATGGAGGAGAGGCGGTTGGGGCAGCGCTGGTACTCGAGAGTGGAGGCGAGCAGAGCGATGTGCGGCCACCGGATGTCTGATGCCATTCTCTTGTTGGCCACGTTCTTGCGACACACCACTCCGTCCACCACACAGCTGCGAGGGGTTGAAAGGGAAAGGGCACGGCACGGCATGGTTGAAATGTTAAGGCCCGAATCTCAGCCTCTCTCCGTGAACGTGGTCCGGCATTCCTTCCTTGTTGGCCACGTTCTTGTGACACACCACTCCATTCACCACACAGCTGTGAGGGATGGGGAGAGGAGAGAAAGAAAGGGAAGGGTCGAAATGCCACATGTCAGATGAGAGGGATTGAGAGGGGGGATTGGTAAAACAGCACATGGGGCGGAGAGTGTAGTACCTTCCTGGAGTGCTTCCTCTCCCAGGCCCCCTCCTGGCACGTACCTCTCACTGCGCTTCCCCCCCGCGATGCACTTCACTTTGATGTATCCCCCAGGATCCATATACCCCCCCATCGAACTCGAGTCCGGCCGAACCAGTGACGCAGCTTCGGAGGCCAGGCGCCGAACCACCTCAAGCCACCCCTCAGGGTCTCCCTCGGCCCCTGCCTGCAGCCCCTCTGCTTTCAGCATCTGCTCTACCAGTGCGCTGAAATGCCCCTCCACCACCTCCCTTAGCCTCTCCCGTGCGTCCACACTGCCTGGTAGCACTGTTCCCGCCCCTGCCGGTGCTGCAGCAGCAGCTGCAGCGCCTCCTCCTCCCTCTTTCCCCGCTGTTCGTGTTGCCCCGCCTCCTCCTCCTGCTCCTCCGCTGTATGTCCCCATCTGTCCATCCCCCTGCCACCCCTCCCCACCCCCATAAACCGAGGATGAGCTATCACCATACTGACCAGTGCTGCTGCCTGCATCCCACCCATCTCCTTCCCCTTCTCCTTCTCCTTCCCCTCCTCTCTCGTTCCACCAGCTACCCTCCTCATCCTCTTCATCCACATATGCAACCGCCCTGCCCCTGCCCTGGATCCCACCTCCCCCAAGTGCAGACGAATCCGGAGGCGGCGTCTCCCAGAGCTTGCTATTCGCCTCCAAGTTCACCGCATCTGGACACTCGGAGGACGACGAGCCGTACGACGACTGCAGGTACGGAGATACGCCGAATCCGGACGCCACTCCTTCCGCCGTCTCCTCCCCTGCATCTGCATCTTCCTGTATAGACCGAGGTCTGGGAGTGGCAGAGCCAGAGGCAGTAGGAGTAGCAACTATCATTGCTCCGATTCGATCATCCACACCGGACCCCACCACACCGGACCCAACCACACCAAACGACCCAGAACGTAGAAGCCCACTGCTTCCCCCTCCTGCTCCTCCCCCTGTTCCTCCCACCCCTCCTCCAACGTCCCCTCCCCTCCCCCCACCACCACCCACAGCACCACCGGCAGCACTAGCAGCAGCAGCAGCAGCAGCAGCAGCGGTAGCATCAGCAGCAGTAACAGCAGCAGCAGCGGAAGCAGAGGGAGTGGCAGAAGCAGGGGCAGCAGGGGGCCCATGGGGATCATCCCCAGGGCGCCAGAGGTCCTGGCTGCCTGTGCGTATGTGCAGTGCCGGTCCCTTCACCACATCATACTGTGCCCCCTGTGCTCCTCTCCCCACAGACTGCTGTGAGGCGGTTGCTGCAGTTGCTCCTGCCGTCACGGGCATTGCTGCTACACTACCTGCTGGTGCTTCAGCTGGCAGTTCTGCTGGTACTGCGTTCGCTGAAGCTTCTGGTCCTGCTGCTATTGCTCCTGATCCAGCAGAAGCTGCCAAGGAAGCAGCACCAGGGGCAGCAGCATGAGTTAACCCTGCCCTCTCAGTGCCACCTTTCATCTCAAATGCGCTGTGAACGCCACCCTTATCTTGGGATATCTCACCCTCTCCCTCTGCTCCTGCCTCCCTCACACCTACTGCTGCTCCCTCACCCATCTCCCCTCGCTGCCACTGCTCACCCCCCCTTACTCCCACTCCCTGCCTAGCAGCAGCATCAAGCGTGCTCAAACCAGCAGCAGCATCAAGCATGCTCAAACCAGCAGCGGCACCACCACCACCCCTGCCCGCTTTCCTTCCCAGCGTCCACCTGTCCCGGCACCACCAATCGCTGTCCTCCACATAATCCCCCTCTTCCAACCCAAACCTACTCCTCGTCCTCCCTGCCCCTCCCAAGCCCCCACCCATGCCGTCCCCTCCCTCCAACCGACCACCAAACCCCTCTCTGCCAGACAGGCCAGTGGCAGTCGTGGCAGTGGATTTGTGGCCAGTGGCATTAGAGGCGTTTCGGGCAGTAGGGGCATAAGGGGCATTAGGGGCAGTAGGGGCATAAGGGGCATTAGGGGCAGTAGGGGCATAAGGGGCATTAGGGGCAGTAGGGGCATAAGGGGCATTAGGGGCAGTAGGGGCATAAGGGGCATTAGGGGCAGTAGGGGCATAAGGGGCATTAGGTGCAGTAGGGGCAGTGCTTGAGGCAGAACCAGGGACAATCCCATTCCTGCTGGGGTGGGGAGGTGTGTTGGGACGTGAGAGGGACGGCCTACCATGCTCGGCAGCTGCTGTTACTGCTGCTGGTAACCCAGCAGCTGGATTGTTACTGCCAGCCGAAGCAGGAGCAGCAGGAGCAGCAGCAGGTGCAGCAGAATCCGCAGGCAACACAGCCGCAGCAGGCAAGGCAGCAGCAGGCTTGGACCCTCGAGGGGAAATGAGTGAGAATGGAAACGAGTCGAGCGCATTAGCCGACGAAGATTTACCCACACCACCATCACCACCACCACTCCCTCCCCCGCCACCGCCCATCCTGCTCCCCGTTGCCTTCCCCCCGCCTAGACCAAGCCCAAACGTCCTGGTGAACCCGAGAGGGAAGTAAGCGAGGTCCCACATGGAAGGGCTCTCTCTGTCGCTCTCCTCCTCTGTCACTGCTGCGCCTAGATGCTCCCAGCCTCCCCACCCCTTGATGGAACCTAATCGCTCGTACGGCTCCTTGGGCTTTGCTGGCGCGTTGCTGATGGGAATGCCTCTTCTGGCGTCGTTATCACCGGCCATCTCCGTTCCGCTGCTCTCTCTTTCATGCGACTTATGCGGCTCGCTTGGGGGGAGTGTGCTCCCATCGCGTGTGGCCGTTGCGGCTGCTGTGGCGCGTGACAGTGGGAGGGCCGTTGGCAGGGCTTGTACCGGAAGAGGGTTGCTGCTGCTGCTGCTATGATCAGTGCAACCGCTGCGGACAGTGCTGCTGCTGTTGCTCTCTATGGCATTACCGCTGCTCGTGCCGTTGCTGTTCATACTTTTCTGTTCTGCGCTGCTGCTGCTGCTGCTGCTGCTGCTGCTGCTGCTGCTGCTGCTGCTGCTATTGCTGCTAGCTGGACCACGCTCCACAATGCCCTGGCTGTTGCTACCACCAGTGGTGCTGTCACCACCGGCACTGGGGTTTCCTTTCACTGGCCCTGTGAGAAGTTCAGCATCAGTGTTCAAAGCACGATTCAAGTCACACTGCTCCACATGCCTCTGCTGGGGCCCATGCTGCTGCTGCTGCTGCAGCAGGTGCTGCTGCTGGTGATGGTGCCGCGGGTCATAATAATGAATGTGACTATGTCGAGCATGGGGTCCTCTCCTCGCCCCCACCTCCCCATCCTCCCCTTCCTCCCCTTCCACTACCGCCTCCCCACCACCCCTCCACCTGGAATCCGAGCCACTCCTCTCGCTTCGTCCGTCCCACCCATTCCTCTCACTTCTCCCCCCATCCTGCGCCCCACTGAGTCCCAGCAGACTGTCATGGGAGAGAGTCCGCGACTGGAACCCCACACCAAACCCACTCAGGCCCCCAACACCAAAACCAGTCAGTCCCAACAGCCCTTTCCGTGTTGCTTCCGCTTTACCTCCACCCACACCCCCTCCTCCTCTTCCTCCTCCTCCTGCTACTACCACTGCTGCTCCTGCTCCCTCTCCTGCTCCTCCTGCTCCTGTTCCGCCTCTTGCTTCTCCTGCTCCTGCTCCCCTTCCATATCTCCCTTTCATCCTTTCCTCGTTTATCCTTCCTCCATTACCAGCTGCTGTTGTTGCTGCTTCCTCCTGTGCTCCAATCCCGACTCTTCTGTCCCCTCTGCCTCCTGATTGCAAATTCTCTCCCTCACTTTCTCCTTTGAACCTTTCCCCTGGCCCGTCTCCCCTAGAGTCGGTACTGCCCCTTACCCTGCCTCTTCGCCTCGCCCTTCCCTGAGACAGTATATACCCCATCTCCTCCTCCTCCTCCTCTTCCTCGTCCTCCTCCTCGTCATCATCGTCTTCCTCGCATTCATCCTCATCCTCATCATCATCCTCCTCCTCCTCCTCTTCTTCATCTTCCTCCTCCTCTGCGTCCTCCTCCTCTTCCTCCCCAAAGTATTCGTCATCAATCCTGCAATGTTGTCGTGTTTCATAAAAGAAGTTAACAAACACACACACACACACACACACACACACACACACACACACACACACACACACACACACACACACACACACACACAAACAAAAAACGAAACAAAACAAAACAAAAAAATGGGGGCGCCTCAATAATAGCCACCGATGTTGGAAAAATACCAGGGAAAAAAACAAAACAAAAAAAAAACAATATGCAAATTGCATGGGTGTGATGCCTAAAAAAAAAGAAAACACAAAAAAGGCAATGCCAAGTTGCCAACCAAAACCGACCTGTATTTTGGGTGCCTGAACTCATACTGCGTCCCAACTCCACCACCTTCTCCCACGCCCTCCGCCAATCCACTGCTCTGCTGCCGTCTGAAACCCAACAACGCCCCTCCTTCTCCCCTATACCCGCCCCTGCTGTCCCGTCCCCACCCCTCGCCCACTGAAACGCTCTTCAGCGCTCCCATCCCCATGACAGGCCCATACATTCCGCCCATTTCTCCCCCTATTCCTCCACTCCGACCCCTTCCCCGTCCCACTCCCCGCCTCATCTTCCCTCCCTCCTCCCACTCCCACAGATCCCCTTCTCCTCCCCTCCCCTCCCCCCTCCCTCCCCTCCCCTGCCCCCCTCCACCTCTTCCCTCTCCCACCTCGACCGCTTCCCGAAACGCCGAACCTGCACCTCTAGCCTGGGGGTCCCTCCGAGGCAAGCTGAGAGCCTCGGCATAGCACTGGTCGCACACCCGAACCTTCTCAGTAGCAACATCCTGAACCCCACCAACACCACCACCAACACCACCACCACCACCACCACCACCACCACCACCACCACCAGCACCACCAGCAGAGTTAACCCCAGCAGTAGTACCACCAGCACCAGCACCCCCACCACCACTACCACCAGCAGCAGGAGCAGCAGAGGCTGGCAGGAGTGGCCGTGGCTGGTCGCGGCGGAGGAAGGGCATGGGGATGGAGCGCTGGGTGCATCGACCGCAGAAGACGCGGCCGCAGCGCCGGCAGTGGTGGCGGCGGTTTAGAATGGTGAACTGCGCGTCACACGCGTAGCAGTGCAGCGCGTGGCTGTCCTTCATCCATAAGTCCCGCGACAGCAAATCCGACTTGCTGCTCCCTGTCACTCCCCCTCTGCTGCTGCTGCTGCCACTGTTGGTGATGCTGCTGCCAGTGCTGGTGCTGGTGGCAGCACCGGGAGCGGCAGGAGCGACAGGAGGAACAGCAGCGCCAGTAGAGGCGCGAATAGGGTTGACACGAGAGGTACCAGTAGGGCCGGCGGAGAAGGTACCAACAGTACTAGCTCTTTCTGCCTTAAGTGCTCCTATTTTGCCGTCTGCAACCCCTGCTTCTCGACGCGCTCCTATTGCTCCTCTTGCTCCTCCTTCTAAGTATCCCATGCCCCCCACGCCTCCTAAACCCGCAGCTGCAGTTTTCGTTGTCCTGACACCACTGAACCTGTCCGCACCACTAACAATACCGCTTTCACCATCAAAACCACTTGTAACATGGTTACCACCGCCACCCACAGCAGTCCTCATCGCTCCTCTCCCACCCATCCCCTCACCACTTGCTCCAGCATAAGCTGAACCTCCCCCGGTTCCTCCTCCCCCATAACCACCGCCCCCACATCCACCTCCTCCTGAATCTCTACCCCCGGCAAGAAAACCAGCGCGAGTTGCGCCGGAAGTCCCGCCGCGTTTCGCGGTGGCGCTGGCCTGACCGCTTGAAGAGGAGGAGGTGGAGGAAGTGGACCCAGCGGGAATCTCGGCGCCTGACGCGCTCAAAGACTTGCTGCTAGCGGTGTCGCTGGCGGTTGCTAGAGGGAGGTACGGACCGAAGGAGAGGAGAGAAGAGGAGGAGGAATCCGAGCCTGAGGCATGGAATGCGCGGGGGCTTGTCGCCGATGCGGCTGATGCGCCTGATGAGGATTTTGGCGGTTCCGGACTTTGCCGTTTGGGTAAGAATAGGCCAAAACCAAAATCCATGATTTCCGGGATCTAAAATTGCCGTAAGCTCAAGACAGTGGCGTTAAAACGGATGTGATCATACAAGAGGTGGCTGAAACGGACGTCGTTGATCACGGGTTGCTAAACGCGAATCCCAACCGTTCGAAGCATCTCATGCCTGAATCCTAAACGAACGCATCCTCGCCGTATCCTGAAAAGGTTCATATAGAACAAGCCGAACAGATGAAGGTAAGAACTACAATACTTTCAACACTCAATACGTCAGTATTCGTATTGTCAGAATTCGTCGGATACGAAGACCGTAACTCCTTACTTATTCGTCAATGTATCTGATGACACGCGAACGGCCTTAGAGAGTGAGGAAAGGGAAACAATAGATTCGCGAAGGCTTGTCGCGGTCGAGCGATACTAAAAGAGTAGTGCGTGCATGATTCGAGACGACGCGGACGGAGGGCATAATAAGCGCGAGGCGTGGTAACACAAAACGCGCCGTTGGAAATCATCCACAAAACGCTCTTGTCGCCGCAACCCACGGCGGGCCTGAAAACGGAGCGTCCGGATAACAGGATGTACAGTATGTGGGTGGGTCAATTCATTCCACGTCATCTGCTTTCAGCCAGAGGAATCGTCCCCTCCCCAGCCTCCGTCAACTCATTCTCAACTACGGTTCCGTAATTTTCAAAAGGGTAAACAACGGTTGGTGCAGATTACCTTTCTGGACCGAAACACACCGATGATGAAGGCGATATGATGTGGAAGTAGGATGCCATGAATGGAGAATCTAGGCGAGCCGACAGCATTTTGGGTGGGAAGGAAAGGAACACCACAGATAGCCAGGAGAAGCGTTACAATACGGTGCTTTATGCTTTCAAAGTGGTACAGAGCAGAGGAAAAAAGCTCAGCTGGTTCACCATCAGAAGCTGAGGTGGGCAGCGTGGAAGGCAGCCAATGGTAATCAGTTTTGGCGCGCAGGAGGGCTGCCGGGCGATGAGTGGCCGGTTAATTGGGAGTAGTTGCCTTGGGATTGGTTAGATGTGGACGCAGTCATTTGAAGACAGGAGACAAGCAGTTGCTGTTCGGGTGTCACTTTGAGGTGGCTTTCGCTATTTACCGAACAGGCTTCGGGTCGAATCATTGAGATCCTCAACTCTTTGGTTCGGGCCTGAAGCGAAAACACAATGGTGTGTGCGGCCAGACCACCCCTGAGGTGTTTCATTTTGCCGTTTCTCGGCATAACCTCCACCATTTTTGGGTTGCGTAGCAACCTTATACATTCGTTTTCACTTTTCGGTTGACTGACGTGAACAGTGATTTTCCCCCATCAATTTTTGAAGGAATCACTGTTCACGTAAGTCCCACAAAATGTGAAACCAAATGTACCCAATCATTCCATAGTCGTCGATAAATACGGCGAATGGAGTAATTGGTTCCGTAGGACAAAAACCCGAGGGGAAATTACCACGCGCACAAGAGAACGTGTACAAAAACAGCATTTCGAAATCGTGCATGTTTCGAGGCTAACACTAAATGCATCAATGCTGCAACTGAGGTTGATATGGTTGGAAGAGGTGAGCAAAGCTGCCCCACCGACGATGACAACCCCAATTGCATACACGAAGCACTTAGCACCACACCCCAAAACAGACAACACATTACACAAACGAGAGCACACAAACACGTACATAAACGGGGGATAATAGTTGTGAATGCTTCGAAGCTAGTGCTAGAATGCATCGATTATGCAAATGAGATTGATCTGGTATGGAAGAGGCGAGCAAAGCTGCCCCACCAACGATCACAACCCCAGTTGCATATACGAGGCACTTAGCACCACACCCCAAAACAGACACAAACAACACCAACATGCGTTTACACATGTATGCACAGCACAGACAAATACAGGCTCACTCACGCACATACATACACGCGCAAACAAACACAAAAGCATACTACCGCTATTGAACATGCAATGCAAGCGTAAAGAATGGAGTTCAGACATGTATAAATCATCGTTAGCCTGTCCCACATTCCCCTCCCTCCCTCCCTCCCTCATCTCCCATCCCCCCATCCCTTCCAATATCCCCTTTTCTTTCGACCCTCCCGTAGTGCAGCACTCCCTGCACAAGAAAGCACAAACAGCGCATGCAGCACCACACTCCCTGGACAAGAGAGAAAAACAGATAATGCAGCTGACACTCCCTGCACAAACAAAAAGAAAAGCAGAGAATACAAGTTGCATGAGCTGCACAACACAGGAAAACAAATAACAGGAATGCAGCCCACCTGATGCACAAGAAACGAGGTAGGCATTATAGAAATATGATGATGATGAATGAAGTACTGAAAAGAAAGATGAGGGTCGAAAACAATCAAATTTGACATCTCGTGAAGGTGATTCGGTATAAGACCTCGTGTCTTCACACGTACCATGCCAGCACGCACGCAATACATCGCAGCCCGCCTCGCAGCCACCCTCGCCTTCAACCTGACACTCATCCTCGCACCTCAGTCTCGCACTTCCTCTCGCATTCACCCTCGTACACACACTCACATGCACCCTCAAGTGCATGCGTGCACTCACTCTCGCACTCCCGCACTCATTCCCTCACACTCTTTCGCACTCACGCTCGCAACCATCCATGGACACACAAGTAACTTTCAACCGTTCTTAGAGACACTCACAGAAACACACACATAAACCCTCACTCACCTTCGGACTCGTGCTCGGCTCACCCTCGCACTCACTCGAACACGCACATGCACACACAGCGCACTCACACTCGAACTCAACTCGCACTCACACCCACACTCGCACCTACAGTCACACCCACACTGACGCTCGCACTCCTTCTCGCACTCGTACTCGCCCTCACTCTCCCACTTGCTCTTGCACATACTCGTGCTCACCCTCGCACTCACTCTTACACTCACACCGCGATCACCCTTGCACTCAACATTGCAGCCACCAACTCACTCACTCAGCCTCACACTCTCGCACTCACTCTTCACCCACACAAATATACTCTCAACTCTTCTTTGACACTCACAAAAACACACACACCCTTGCACACATCCTCGCACTCACCCTCACACACACTCGAACGCACTTGCACTCAACCTCGTACGCACACACACACTCATGCTCGCACTCACCCTCAAACTTGCCCTCGCACTTACACTCGCACTCACTCTCACACTTGCTTTCCCACTCACCTTCTCACTACTGACGCACTCACTCATGCACTTGCTCTCTAATTCAACCTCGCACTCGCCCTTCCGCTCACAACCGCACTCAACCTCGAGTGCATGCGCGCATCTCGCTCTCGCACTCACACCCACACAAGCACTCACCCTCTCGCACACTCTCGACTCACTCTTGCAACCACTTACATACACACACACGCCCTAAGCGCAAGCGCCCACGGTGCAGAGCCCTAATCGCAAGCGACATAAGCGCCAGCGGATTAGGCGCAAGCGCCCAAGGCACCCACGCAAACGGCGCAAGCGCGCACACACTCTCTCTCCCGCCTCTCTCTCCCACACGCGCTTCGTGCTCCCTCCAGATCTTCCTTCGCTCTCACATACGCTCTCTCACGCGCACTCTCCTGCGTGCTCGCTTCCCCTCGCGCTCCCTCTCTCCCCTTCTTCAATCGGTAGTGCAACGCAAGACGAGGCAAGTCTACACACAGAAAGGACAAATAAGGTAGGAGAACAATGGAATTTCAGAGGGGTGGGAGGAATAAACGCACCTGCAAATGACGGTGCCTCGAAGACCATCCCGCGCTCGCGCACCAGCTCTCGTTCGCGCACCATCCTTATCCATGCTCACAAACCTCCCCACGGCGGGACGGGAGGGAGTGGCGCGGCGGGGATGAGGGAGATGCGGCGGCGGAATGGAAGGGAGAGGCGGCGGCGGAATGGAAGGGAGAGGCGGCGGCGGAATGGGACAGAGTGGCGACGGCGGGATGAGAGAGAGTGGCGAAACGGGACGGGAGGGGGAGAAGTCGGCGGGATAAGAGGGAGAAGCGGTGGCGGGATGGGAGGGGAGTGGCGGTGGCGGGATGGGAGGGGAGTGGCGGCGGCGGGATAGGAGGGAGAGCCGGCGGCGGGATGGTAGGGAGAGGCGGCGGCGGCGGCGTGGGAGTGAGTGGCGACGGCGGCGTGGGAGGGCGAGGCGACAGGGGGGTGGGAGTGAGAGGCGACGGCGGGGTAGGTGAGAGATGCAACGGCGGGGTGGGAGAGGACGAGGGCGGGATGGGAGGGAGCGGTGGCGACGGGATGGGAGGGAGCGGTGGCGACGGGATGGGAGGGAAAGGTGGCGGCGAGATGGGAATGAGAGGTGGCGACGGGATGGGAGGGAGAGGTGGAGGTGGGATGGGAAGGAATGGCGACGGCGGGGTAAAAGGGAGGGGCGACGGCGGGGTAAAAGAGAGGGGCAACGGCGGGGTGAGAGGGAGAGGCGACGGCTAGGTGTTAGGAAACACTAGTAGCAGGAGTAGGGTTTGCAGTTGGGAGAGAAGGGTATTGAGAGCAGGTACGGGAGGAATTCGAGGAACCAGGAAGAGAGGAGATGAGTTGGAGCTGACAGATGGGAAAGGGAAGGAGCTTGTTGGGGTGGTTCGTGCTGCTGGTAAGTTTTTTTTCTGCCGGAATCAAAACAACGCTTGAAGAGTTCTCTACACAGAAAAATAGAACCGATGGAGCGAATTACAAAAACTTCAACAGAATCTGGGCACTTCACAATCCAAAAAAAAAAAAAAAAAAAAACACACGCATAACATTTGGAAGCTAGTGTCACGTGAACTCACACGCGCGACACATCAGAGTCAGATGCAAAACACAAACCCAATATAGTCCGACTTCAAAACCGTATTTTAAGAAAACAAAATCTACTCACGTGAGGGCACAGTAAGATCACAGTATATATAACCGTGGAAACATAGAACACATAATTCTATAAGTATGATATAGTACAAACCTTCGTTAATGGTATCTTTTATTCTGCCATACGAACGTACCTTATACGCAACCCTTACGACGTTAGCGTCGAGTCTTGTCTGATCTTTCTCTGAAACCACGCAGTATCAGAGTCAGTCTCACACGAATTTCATGCTTGGAACGAAACAGTATACGCCCCGCTGGCTCCCACATTCTGCAATTCCATACATAAGGGCGTGTCCAGTTAGTTCATGTCGGGTTTTTTAGTGCCAACTTACGTCTCGAGGTTCAAAAATAGTCACTGTACCTAAAACGAATGCATTGTGAGTTGAGTCCCACCTACAAGTAATTTCAGGAGCGCGGACACGTTCTCCGCCACACGAATCAACAGTGCTCTAATCGCGTTCGAAACGAGGTAACGGTCTCCCTCGTCAATCATATCTAACGACTTTTTGGGCAGGTGGGGGGGTTGTTGGCGAGATTAGCGAGCTACTGGCGAAATTGTGCAAGCGATACAGGGGGCACGACTGTAGTGGCCAGTACACGGTCTTGTACCCTTGTTCGCGTCCCCGCTGATTCCAGGAACGTGAGTCAGACGACTCGAGGTACGCGCAGGGGGCGTGCCGTCTTGTGAACGAAAGCTGATTGTGTCCAAGGACACGTTCAATACAGTGTTACAACAAAAAATGTGGTAACTGAGCGGGCTTACGAGCAGTAAATGTACGAGCTGGACACCTCCTAACTGCCAAATGCACGACATAATCCTCCTGACTCCAGCAACAGGCCAGAACCATTGAGCCATCACAATTGACAAGCTACTGGCGCTAGGCTGTATGGTGGCTGAGCAAAAACGATTTCAGAGAAACCGCGGCAAGGCTACCCTCTCAATCAAGCTTAGGGTTGTGGACCATTAGGTTTCACGAACCGTCGTAGGGCCCACTTCGCATTCTCTATAGGGAAGAAGCCACACACCGTCGCACCATAGTCGCACGCTTGTAGTTCACTTGTCGCAGCGCAGCATGGCGAAAGGAGGACAGCAGCAGTGCGTCGTGTGCCAATCGCAAGCCGCCAAGTACAAATGCCCCACGTGCCTCTCTCCCTAGTACGTCCGCTGTGATCGCAACCCAACCTTTGGACGAACACATTCCTTACACCTCGAAACCCGCCAGAGCTAAACATATGTTATCGTAATTTCCCATTCTCCCTCAGTCCTTCTTCCCCCCTTCCTCCAAACGTTTCTCCCGCACTCCCCCTGATTCTTCCCCCTGTCATCCACCTTCTCTTCCGCCTCGCCCCTCCCTGCGCCGCCTCTGAAGCTGCTCCGTCGCCTGCTGCAGAAAACATAAAGGTCAGTCCGAAGCTACTCTCTAATCTGTACGGAAAATCTAGAGGCTGAGTGAGACAGGAGGTAGGGTTCATGGCAAGGGATCCAGGTTCAGGGTTTGGGGTTCGGGATTCGTTGTCTGGGTTTGGGTGAAAAGGATCCATTTCCTGTCGCTTGTTGAGGATCGCTGGTGCCCAATTTTGGGATACACGCGCGAGATATACATACTATGTATCCCCTTCCCCGCTCTCATACACGCCAATTCCCCCACAGCGGCGCACACACACACGCGCGCGCGCACACGCGTTTTCTCCCATCGCCTTTCCGACAGGGATTCTCACTCCCTCCCTGCAGGGTCATGTTTCTACGTTCCTCTTACCACTCCCTCCATCCTTCCCTCCTCCACACACCCTTTCACTCACTCTTCCCCCTCACGACACACACCAGTAACCACTGTGAATTCCTCCCCACTCCTCCCTTCATACCTGCACCACTTAAGACCACTCTTCACCGCACTCACTCCCCCGCTCGCCCTGCAGAAACGCCATGCCAACCAAGAGAGCAGCCTGCTACGTCAGGAGCAGAGGCAGGAGCTACAGCCGCCGCCACTTCAGATGCCCAGGGCAGTGCCTGTCCTGACAGCAGCAGCAGCAGCAGGAGCAAGCAGCCTGTGCGGCCGTTTGAGGAGTGTGAGGATGAGGATGAGCTCTCTTGGCGCCTGCCGTGCAGCACACTCAGAGAAATAGGTGAGGGAGGATGGGAGTATGTGTGTGTTTGGGGTGGCTTGACAGCAACAGCAGCAGGGGGGGGGGAAGCAGCCTGTGTGGCCGTTTGAGGAGTGTGAGGACGAGCTCTCCTGGCGTCTCCCCTGCAGCACCCTCAGGGAGATAGGTGAGGGAGGATGGGTGTATGTGTGTGTATAGAGGCTTTGTTTCTAAGGGGTATGTGTTTTGGGGTTCTGACAGTGCCGGGGTGGGGGGGCCCTGACAGCAGTAACAGCAGCAGGGGCAAGCAGCGTGTGCGGCCGTTCGAGGAGTGTGAGGATGAGGATGAGGCCGTACTTTCTTGGCGCCTTCTCTGCAACACACGCAGGGAGATAGGTGAGAATTCAGCACCACTGGGTGTGTGTTTATGGGTGATGTGACAGCGCTAGCCCCAACAGCAGGACTTCTGCTGCTGTTAGAGGTATGGGACGATGGCTTTTGAGGCGCCTCAAAAGATGTGACAGCGCTAGCCCCAACACCAGGACTTCTGCTGCTGTTAATAGAAGTATGGGACGATCGGAAAAGAAGCTTCTGCTCCTCCTCACTCCCCCCTCCTCAATCCCCACTCCCCACTCCCCTCTCCCCACTCCCCTCTCCCCTCTCCCCTCGCACTCTCCCCCATGCCGCTCACAGCAGACGATGCAAGCGTAAGGCAGCAGCGGAGGAACCATGAGTTGAGCTGCGCCCCTGCCCGCTCCTCTCTTTCCCCTCTCCCCACTCTCCACTCCCCACCCCCCACTCCCCACTCCCCACCCCCCACTCCCCACTCCCCACTCCCCGCTCCCCTCTCATGTCTCCCATGCCCTTCACAGCGGACGATGCGGCACTGAGGCAGCAGCGGAGGAACAATGAGTCGCAGCGCATGCTGGCTCTCACTGTCCTTGCTTCTTCAGAATACTCAAAAAACAGATTCAGCTTCCCTATTCTCCTCTTCTGCTGTCCTCCACCCACACACAGCGAATGACACGGCACTGAGGCTGCGTTTAAGGAACCATGGGTTGAGATGCTCCCCTCCCTGTTCCCCACTCTCCTCACTCCCCGTTTCCCTCTCTCTCCACCTCCCGTTTCCCTCTCTCTCCACTCCATTCACAGCGGGTGATGCGGCCCTGAGGCAGCAGCTGGGGAACCGCGGGATGAGATGCTCCCCTCCCTGCTCCCCCCTCTCCCCACTCCCTGTCCCCCTTTCTCCCCTCTCCTTTTCCATGGCCCTCGCAGCGGACGACACGGCATTGAGGCAGCAGTTGAGGGACCATGAGTTGCAGCGCATGCTTCTCCTCATTGACAGCTCCCCACACCCAGAAGCGGTCAGTTCTCGCCCCTTATCATTGCCACTTGCAATCTCTCTTGCCGCCTCAAAAAAATGTTGTGAGAGGTCTCAATAAGCGCATGTTGCTCCTCATAGACAGCTCCCCACATCCCGAAACAGTCAGTGCTCGCCCCACCGTCCTCCTTTTGATCGACTCAAAAGACACCTACTTGAGGGACCATGACTTGAACTGCAGCGCATGCTGTTTCGCTCGTCATCGACAGCTCGCTGCACCCAGAAGCAGCAGTGCTGCCACCCACTTACCCCCTCCTCCTCCTCCTCCTCCTCCTCCTCCTCCTCCTCCTCCTCCTCCTCCTCCTCCTCCTCCTCCTCCTCCTCCTCCTCCTCCTCCTCCTCCTCCTCCTCGTTCTCCTCCTCCTCCTCCTCCTCCTCCTCCTCCTCCTCCTCCTCCTCCTCCTCCTCCTCCTCCTCCTCCTCCTCCTCCTCCTCCTCCTCCTCCTCCTCCTCGTTCTCCTCCTCCTCCTCCTCCTCCTCCTCCTCCTCCTCCTCCTCCTCCTCCTCCTCCTCCTCCTCCTCCTCCTCCTCCTCCTCCTCCTCCTCCTCCTCCTCCTCCTCCTCCTCGTTCTCCTCCTCCTCCTCCTCCTCCTCCTCCTCCTCCTCCTCCTCCTCCTCCTCCTCCTCCTCCTCCTCCTCCTCCTCCTCCTCCTCCTCCTCCTCCTCCTCCTCGTTCTCCTCCTCCTCCTCCTCCTCCTCCTCCTCCTCCTCCTCCTCCTCCTCCTCCTCCTCCTCCTCCTCCTCCTCCTCCTCCTCCTCCTCCTCCTCCTCTCCTCCTCCTCCTCCTCCTCCTCCTCCTCCTCCTCCTCCTCCTCCTCCTCCTCCTCCTCCTCCTCCTCCTCCTCCTCCTCCTCCTCCTCCTCCTCCTCCTCCTCCTCTCCTCCTCCTCCTCCTCCTCCTCCTCCTCCTCCTCCTCCTCCTCCTCCTCCTCCTCCTCCTCCTCCTCCTCCTCCTCCTCCTCGTTCTCCTCCTCCTCCTCCTCGTTCTCCTCCTCCTCCTCCTCCTCTTCCTCCTCCTCCTCCTCCTCCTCCTCCTCCTCCTCCTCCTCCTCCTCCTCCTCCTCCTCCTCCTCCTCCTCCTCCTCCTCCTCCTCCTCCTCCTCCTCCTCCTCCTCCTTCTCGTTCTCCTCGTTCTCCTCGTTCTCCTCCTCCTCCTCCTCCTCCTCCTCCTCCTCCTCCTCCTCCTCCTCCTCCTCCTCCTCCTCCTCCTCCTCCTCCTCCTCCTCCTCCTCCTCCTCCTCCTCCTCGTTCTCCTCCTCGTCCTCCTCCTCCTCCTCCTCCTCCTCCTCCTCCTCCTCCTCCTCCTCCTCCTCCTCCTCCTCCTCCTCCTCCTCCTCCTCCTTCTCCTCCTCCTCCTCCTTCTCCTCCTTCTCCTCCTCCTCCTCCTCCTCCTTCTCCTCCTCCTCCTCCTCCTCCTCCTCCTCCTCCTCCTCCTCCTCCTCCTCCTCCTCCTCCTCCTCCTCCTCCTCCTCCTCCTCCTCCTCCTCCTCCTCCTCCTCCTCCTCCTTCCGCCTCCACTTTCTCTTTTTTCTTCGTCACAACTTTATTCCCTTGCTTTTGTGGTTTCCCGTTTGCATGGCTTCATCTCATCCCATGTCACTTCAAAATCTCAACACCCCATCACCTCATCCTCCCACCACCCCCTCTTACTCTCTCAGCGCCTGCATGCCCTCTCATCCCCTCCCACATGCCCTCTCATCCCCTCACTGTGTTTCCCCGCAGGCACTAGAAGCAGCGCGGTCGCATCCAGCTTTTGCCAAGTTCCTTCAACAGGCAATCCTCTGAACCGCTCTCAATTCCTCTTCTCTCAAACGCCTCCGTTCCTCTCTCCCCCTCTTCTCTTCTCTCACCCCTCTCGCCTTCCTGCCTGGTGTTCCCCCTCTCCTTGCACCTCATCTCTTCTCCCTTACTCAGCAACCTCACAAGCATTTCCAATGTTGAAGTTTTTCTTAAGTTTTTCCTCCTTTTCCTCTCTCTTCATCTGTGCGTCTTCTCCACACAGGTCCAAAAGCACTTGCCTCTAGCGGGCTGACAGTCTGACTGACGCCACGTGATTGAAGAAGGGTTTTGAGACGTCTCAAAACACTTGCCTCTAGCGGGCTGACAGTCTGACTGACGCCACGCATGCAGCGCTCTTTTGTGTTGTGGTTGGAGACTCAACTCGGACAACAGTCATCCTATCTATCTCCCCTGCTGGTTGTGGTTGAGGTTGGGGTTCTTAGAAATTGGAGCTGTTTGTGATTGAAGAATCTATTCGTTAGAGAACTCTTGCCTCTCCTGCTACCACTATTTGTGGTTGATGCGCTTAAAAAGAAGCTGTTTTGTGGTTGGGACTCTAGTACCGTACAGTCCTTCTCCCTGTGCTATTTGTGTGTGAGGCACCTGTGGTTTGAAGTCCCTACAAGTTCAACCATCCCACTCCAGGACGCTCATCACACGGGAATATACGGTAGTTGAAGTGCTCAGGAAACCCAGGTTAGAGGTTGAATATAGCCAGGGTGGAATTTAAATTAGAAACAAGACAACCCCGCACATTCATCTTTATCCCAAATGTTACAGAACACTGTACATTACAAGCACGCCTCAACGGCCTGTGGACTTGCACACTGGGAGCACGGGGAAGGGGGAACACTGGGAGCACGGGGAAGGGGGAAAGGGAGGCTCAAGAGACTGCCTAAATTCCATCAGAAGGGACCGTGGCGCCTGTTGTGGTCTCCGCCACGAGCGCACGGGTTTGCCACATTCACGATAAGCCTGTGACTGACTGGGACATCTTCACGGGCGTGGTGATTTCCTTGGTCGGGGCTGCCATTGTGGTGGACATTTTCACGGGCTTGGATGGGGTGGTTAACTTGCCCGGGGATGCAATTGACACGGTACATGTGTTCTCGTTTATAGTGTGACGGAACGAGACGACGCGCGCGGACTATGTGCGAAAACCTTCAAACCCCGGGCAAAACGAGATACTTACCGTATTACCCCGGATATAAGCACACCTGCGCTTATAATAAACCTGTGTTTTTTAGGGGGGTGCGCTTATAATTGAGTCAAATTTATAAACGCATGCGCTTATATAATGGCAAATACATAATAATGATTTAAAGGACCAAATTGTGCATCCCACTACAGTTGCATTTTTAATCAGATCGAAATGGGCATCAGAATCGCGCGAGGGCGATTTTCTGCCGGCGCACAGGGGCAATGACACGTCAAGCTTGCCCCGACCCAGTGTATGAGCCAATCACATACAGTCGCTTGCTCAGTGCACTGTGAAAGAACAAGGAATGATTGCATTGAGCAGCATGAGGAGTACAAGTAGGAAACCCTAAAGTGTTGTACCCCATATGAGCTACCCCACTACGGCCTACAAAGACTATAGCATATAAGTTTGACACACCCCCATAGGCAAAGTGGGGGAGAACAAGAGGTCACAAGACCAGTCAAGAGAAGCAAGGCAAACTCAACGTGGATCACAACGTCACCATACATTCTGAGCACAAGCACAAGGCCACAACGCCAGTTCACATGCAGAGTTATATATCAAGGTGAACAAACAAGGCAATGATCTCAGCCTAGCAAGGGTAAGCATGCAAGAACAGGTACATATAGATCACAGTACAAGCAAAGTCAAGAAGTGAGCAAGTGAGGCCAAGTAGGCACAAGACCTAGCAAAGTACAAAAGCGCTGATGATCACAAGGCGGAAGTGCCTTCGTAAAGATATCAGCAGTGTTGGCCTCACAGCTGGAGCCGAGAACAGAAGACAAGCGGGTAGACCGCCACGAGATAGAGCCGGAACCAAGGCTGAAGGTGTGACACTGTGACGACCGCTGCGTAGCCTGGTCGTCAGCCCAAGAAGCGTCTGCGTGACCTATGAGGACCACTGGACGTCGCCCTACAAGCACCAGCCCCATGCCCGACGTACTGCACAAGTAGCGCAACACCCTCTTCGCTGCAGCCATGTGCTCTGGTCGGTGTCTCCCAGGAGCAACCTAGCGTGCCAAGATGCTAAAAGGGTATGCTAGGTCAGGTCGTGTGCAGGTCATCAGGTACATGAGGCAGCCAACAAGCTCTGGGTACGGGCCACTCGGCTCTACGGAATCATCCGAAGGCAGAGCTGAGAGCGAGTGGCGAGTAGACAGAGGAGTGGCCTGAGGCGAGGAGTACGTGAAGTCGAAGCGCTGAAGGACCTGCTGCGCCATGTGTGACTGACTCAGGGTAATGGTGCGCTGTGCTCTGTCCCGGGTGATCTGCAAGCCAAGGTAGCTGCGCAGTTCACCCAGGTCTGTGCACGTGTGTCTCTTCTGCAGCTCGGACTTAACGTAGGCGAGTCCAGCAGTGTCAGCAGTGGCAAAGACCAAGTCGTCGACGTACACGAGGATGTAGAACGGCGGCAGGGAGGTGTCGGTGCGCAGAAACAGCGACGGGTCGGCAGTAGAAGGAGCACACCCAAGAGCCGCAAGTGTAGTTCTCAGTGTGTCGTGCCACTCACGGGTCGCCTGGCGGAGACCGTAGACTGGCCGCCGGAGGCTTCGCTGGGTACCAGGAGGGAACGACCCAGTGAAACCAGGTGGGCGGCGCAGCCAGATCTCCTCGTGCACGCTGCTCTGCAGGAAAGCAGTGCTGATGTCAAGAGAGTGAAGCTCGTAGTCGCGCTGAGCGGCTATGTGCAGCAGCCCCCAAAGAGTGGTCATCTTCGGGGTGGAGGAGAAGGTATGAAAGTAGTCAACTCCCTGCCGCTGACTGAAGCCTCGAGCCACGTAACGCGCCTTGAAGACAGGCGGAGAACCCGGCAGCCGCTTCACCCTGAAAATCCACATGCCACTGACGATGTTCGCCCCAGGTGGGGGAACCTCGTCGACGTAGGTGCCTGTGGACTTCCAGGAAGCCATCTCTGCGTCCATGGCTGACTGCCACTGTGAGGAGTCGGGACCCTCGATCACCTCAGCGTACGATCGAGGAGTCGGGATGTATCGTGCAACCGGGTCTCCCTCAGGGGCAATCAGCGTGGACACGAGATGAGGCAAAGCAGCAGCAAAACACTGGAACTTCTCCTGCTTGTCCTCAAGGACGTCCGTGCTAAGAGCACACTCACCCCCAACGGACGGAGGACAGACCGACTCAGACTCAGCAACAAGACTAGCAGCGTAGTCTAGACGACAGCGAGCAGCAAATTCAACAAGCTCAGCAACTAAGGCAGACGTAGAAGTGGACTTAAAAGAAGGGTCAGTGGCGATAGAGGGTCCCTACTCGTCTCAGTGGCAGGCAGCTATGGATGCAGAGATGGCTTCCTGGAAGTCCACAGGCACCTACGTTGACGCTGTTCCCCCTCCTGGGGCGAACATCCTCAGCGGCATGTGGATTTTCAGGGTGAAGCGGCCGCCGGGTTCTCCGCCTGTCTTCAAGGCGCGTTACGTGGCTCATGGCTTCAGTCAGCGGCAGAGAGTTGACTACTTTCAGACCTTCTCCCCCACCCTGAAGATGACCACTCTTCGGGTACTGCTGCACGTTGCTGCTCACCGTGACTACGAGCTGCACTCTCTCGACTTCAGCACTGCTTTCTTGCAGGGCAGCCTGCACGAGGAGATCTGGCTGCGTCGCCCACCTGGCTTCACTGGGTCGTTCCCTCCTGGTACCCAGTGGATTCTCCGGCGTCCAGTCTACGGTCTCCGCCAGGCGCCACGTGAGTGGCACGACACACTGAGGACTACGCTTGCGGCACTTGCGTTTGCTCCTTCTACTGCCGACCCGTTGCTGTTTCTGCGCACCGACACCTCTCTGCCGCCGTTCTACATCCTCGTGTACGTCAACGACTTGGTCTTTGCCACAGCTGACACTGCTGGACTAGCCTACGTGAAATCCGAGCTGCAGAAGAGACACACGTGCACTGACCTGGGTGAACTGCGCAGCTACCTTGGCTTGCAGATCACCCGGGACAGAGCACGCCGCACCATTACCCTGACTCAGTCACACATGGTGCAGCAGGTCCTTCAGCGCTTCGGCTTCACGTACTCCTTGCCTCAGGCCACTCCTCTGCCTACTCGCCACTCGCTCTCAGCTCTGCCTTCGGATGAGTCCGTAGAGTCGAGTGGCCCGTATGCGGAGCTTCTTGGCTGCCTCATGTACCTGATGACCTGCACACGACCTGACCTTGCATACCCTCTCAGCATTCTCGCACGCTATGTTGCTCCTGGGAGACACCGACCAGAGCACATGGCTGCAGCGAAGAGGGTGTTGCGCTACTTGTGCAGTACATCGGGCATGGGGCTAGTGCTGGGAGGGCGCAGTCCAATGGTCCTCACTGGGCACGCGGACGCTTCTTGGGCTGACGACCAGGCTACGCAGCGGTCGTCACAGGGTTACACCTTCGGCCTTGGTTCCGGCTCTGTTTCGTGGCGGGCTACTCGCTCGTCTTCTGTTCTCGGCTCCAGTTGTGAGGCTGAGATCTACGCCGGGGCTATGGCTGCTCAGGAGCTTCGCTGGCTCACCTACCTGCTGACCGACCTTGGAGAGCCGCCTCGTTCTCCTCCAGTCCTGTACGTAGACAACAAGGCCATGCTGGCCTTGTGTCGAGAGCAGCGACTGGAGCACAGGACAAAGCACATTGCTCTCCGCTACTTTCTTGCTCGTGAGCTACAGCAGCGTGGTCAGTTGTGACTTGCGTACGTGGCCTCTGAGGCCAACACTGCTGATGTCTTCACCAAGGCACTTGCACCTTGTGATCATCAGCGTTGCTGCACGCAGCTAGGTCTTGTGCCTGTCTTGCCTCACTTGCTCACTTCTTGACCTTGCTTGTACCTTGACCTATATATACTCTTGCTGTTGTTTGCTTGACTCTTGTATATCTCTACATATGATCTTGCATGTGAACTGGCCTTGTGGCCCTTGAACTTGTGCTCGGAATGTGTGGTGACTTTGTGATCCACCCTGA